AAATAATACTATAATTATATAATAAGAAATTATAATAAGAAATAATAATATAATTATCATATAAGAAATAATATGATAATTATTATTAATAAGAAGATAAAATAAACTATAATCATATTAATAGAATAATACTATAATTATATTAATAAGAATTAGAAAGAAAATCAATACTAGAATTATATTAATAATGAAAATAATATATAATATATAATAAGAAATATTAATAGAAATAATACTATAATTATATTAAGAGACATAACATAATATAATTATAGTAATAGAATTATACTAAGAAATAATACTAAATTATATTAATAAGAAAAATTATAATTTATTTAATAAGAAATATTAATACGAAATATACTATAACTTATATAATTAAAGGAAATAATACTATAATATATTAATAATAAAATTATTAATAAGAAATAATACTATAATTAATTATAAGAAATAATACTAAATTATATTAATAAGAAAGATTAATAAGAAATAATAATATAATTATATTAAGAAAAAATAAATACTATAATTATAATAATAAGAATAATACTATAATTATATTATAGAAATTATTAATAAGAATAATACTATAATATATAATAAGAAATATTAATATTAAATAAATACTATAATACTATTATAAGAAATAATAAAAATTATATTAATAAGAAATAATACTATAATTATATTAATAAGAATATTAATAGAAAGATACTATAATTATATTAATAAGAAAATTATAATAAAAATATAAAAAATAATACATAATTATATTAATAAGAAATATAATATATAATATTATTATAAGCAATTATTAATAAGAAATATACTATTTTATTATATTAATAAGAAATAATACTAAATATATACTAAGAAATTATAATAAGAAATAATCATAATTATATAATAAGAAATAATACTATAATTATTTAATAAGAAATTATTAAGAGAAAAACTATAATATAAAAAGAAATAATACTATAATTATATTAATAAGAAATTATAATAGAAATAATACGATAATTATATTAATAAGAAAATTAATAAGGAAATAATACTATAATTTATAATAAGAAATAATACTATAATTATATTATAGAAATATTAATAAGAAATAATATATTAATTATATTCATAAGAAATAATCACTATAATTATATTAATAAGAAATGATGTAATAAGAAATAATCAATATAATATATTTAAGAGAAATAATACTATAATTCTAAGAAATTAAATACTATATATATTAATAGAAATTTTTTACTCATATCTATACTATAATTAATTAATAAGAAATAATATAAATTAATTAATAAGAAATATATTAATAAGAAATAATACTATAATTTATATAATAAGAAATAATACATATTATATTAATAAGAAATTATTAATAAGAAATAATACTATAATTATTATTAAAGAAATAATACTATAATATATAATAAGAAATATAATAAATTATATAATTATATTAATAAGAAATTATTATAAGAAATAATACTATAATTATATTAATAAGAAATAATACTATAATTATATTAATAAGAAATTATTAATAAGAAATATACTACATATGATATTAATAAGAATAATACTATAATTATATTAATAAGAAAAATTTAATTATATAATACGAAATATAATAAGAAATAAACTATAATATATTAATAGAAATCATACTAAATTCTAAATAATAAGAATATACTAATTATATTAATAGAAATTAGTAATAAGAAATAATACATAATTATATTAATAAGAAATAATCTATAATTATATTAATAAGAAAATATAATTAAGAAAATAATACTATACATTATATTAATAAGAAATCAATACTATAATTATATAATAAGAGAAATTATTAATAAGAAAATAATACTATAATTATAATTAATACGAAATAATACTATAATTATATTAATAAGAAATAATAATATATATTAATAATTAATAAAATATACTATAATTATATAATAAGAAATTATAATAGAGAAATAATCACGATAATTTATATTAATAAGAAATATACTATAATTATATTAATAAGAAAATATATATAATTAATATAAGAAATTATATAGAAATAATACTATAATTATATTAATAAAAACGTATTAATAAGAAAGAATACTATAATTATATAATAAGAAATTATTAATAAAAATAATACTATAATTATATTAAAGAATAACTAAATTATTATAGAAAATAATAATAATTTTATATTATATATAATACTTATAATACATATTAATAATAAATTATTAATAAGAAATAAACTATAATTAGATAATAAGAAATTATTAATAAGAAAAATACTATAATTATATTAATAAGAAATAATCTATAATTATATTAATAAGAAATTATTAATAGAAATAATACTATAATATATTAATAAGAAATTATTAATAAGAAATAATACTATAATTATAATTAATAGAAGAAATAATACTATAATTATATTAATAGAAATTATAATAGAAATAATACTATAATTATATTAATAAGAAATACTTTATTTAGCACTAATGATAAGAAAATAATAATGAAAAATAACCATTTATGATGATAGAAGAAAACGTCTCGTCGACGTTTTGTTTCATACAGATCATCTAATTATAAGTAAGGAGACAGCATACGACATAACTACGCAAAATCCCTAGAAGCAAGGATTCTTTGAAATGATGCCTGCGATGAGGTATTAAGGGAATTTATTCTCTGGTTCGACAACATCCTAACAGCTCTTTCAGTACAATTCGCTCCTCTGAAGTAAATTTTCTTAGCTTCTATAAATACAAGTGCGAGAAAATAGTACAACGCCGTAACAGACGAAGAGAATGTGACGCGCTTTTCATTACAGAAGAGAGATGAACTATTTACTGATGTCAAACAGATAAGTATAGGCCATTTTTGGAACACCGAAACCGCTTGCAGAGATAGATGTAGGTTAATTGCTTGCTCTCATTCGTCCAGCGGCAACTCGAACGGGGAAGCTGCTGTCATAGTTTGTAGTACAATATTGTGGAACTAATAATTTGTTAACGCGTTCGTAAATAAAAGCAATGCTTTTGGGTGCTAGGAAAATTTACATTTTACAAAGTGATTCACAACTCATGAAAGAAACTTCAAGGGATAGTAAAGCACAGTATAACAAACGCTTTTTCTGTAGAAATATATGGGTGGCGCATGAACACAAAAATATGATATGAAACGTATTTAGTTTACTTACAGCAACGTTAACAAGGTATTCTTCACCACAACGTTTGCAATAATTGCTTTAAATTACCTGTACAGGCTTAGCACCGTCGGTGGAGTGAATGATACATATTGTCCAAGGTGCCAAGTACTATCTGTACATGACCGACTGCATCGGATATTCGAATGAAGGAGTCTTGTAAGTGAAGGATCCAGAAATCAGATGCCCTCATAAAACGTTATTGAGGCTTTGGGCATTCAAGATAGCTAATTGTCTTGTTCATTATAGCCAATATATAATGCTAAATTGACTGGTGGTCCGAAAGTACTGAAAATATAGTTGATTATGAATGGCAACCGTAGTATCTTGAACCAATTCCGTATAATTCTTTTCCAGATAAATGCAGTAACACCTACATGGAGTCGCATTGGTAATACATATGAGCCAAATAGAAAATCATTTTTTTTTCCTCAATACTCGCCTGCATATTCCCAGAGAATTGTTGTTGGAACTCTCGTGTATGTGTAGTTTGAAGCTGTAGTGCTCGCACATTAAAAACTCCGTGTGTAAAATTTGCTTCATCTGTGAAGAGCGCATGGATTTGGAAGTCTGGCCTTACTGCATCCTTTCCAAAGTGCGAAGGCGGAGGTTGAATCTCTATACCTGGATCTAAGGGGCGAAGGAACTCATAATGCGGTTAAGTCTTGCGAAGTGGGGAATGCCCAATTCATATTTCACTGCATTCTGCTTCAAAAACCACTAGCAAAATATCATGCTCAGAGGAAACTCTTCCTTCTGAACATAGATTTTGAAAATAGGATGGGTGTAATCGTTATCCGTTCCAAGTTCAAACAGTGGGTTCAGTCACTGCTCTTGGAATTGTGTCGGTTCAGCTTTCCACAAGTTCCAAGATGAATTCTTATATTTTTTGACTTCGTATTGCTCTCAGTCGATTTGTTTCTTTCCTGCTGACTTCTCGGCATTTCATAAAAATCTCTCGTCACCGGCAACGACACAGCCGCAAATGGCTCAGCTAGTAAACAGCAGACAACCTACTGCCCTTTGACAGCAACGATATCAAAAGTCAGTCACTCTATCAATACTCTCAAACATGTTAAATTACTGCTATGGGACGCCAAAGTCAGCAAGTACTATATGCATTGCTGAAAAGAATCACATCATAAACGATGCTAAGCAAACAGCTTATGTTTCCTTTCGTGTCTTATTTCTTGCGTTTGTACTTCAACACATAACTTGCACCGCCCAGACGGGAAAGTGATTAGTAATGCTGATTGCCGTAACGAAGGGCCTGGGTTCGAATACCGGAGAAATCATAATTGTTTGTAAATGTATAGTTTTTGTTCCGGATGGGAGTACTAAAATTGTGCTGCCAGACGAAAGTTTCCTCGAGAAGTTGGTAGCACGGAAAGAGGGGGTGGGAGAACCTCAGATCTGTGCCCCGGGTACTCTCCTTCAAAGCTGGGGTGGAACTGAGCAAAATCGGATGGTATGGTGACATGTAGTTAAGGCTATTGCCAACGGCAGACGCAATCTTGTACTCCTTGCCACAAAAGTTCGTGGTCTTGTTTTGATTATGTCAGACAAGCGAGATTAGCCACGATAACACACTTACACATAACTTAATCTCATACAATCCCATGCAATTTGATTAATTAATACATTAAAATTTGCCTGTGAGTTCTGAATCAAACTATACTTTTGTAGTTTCATTGTGATTTGGAATTGCTTAGTGATTTTAACGTAACTTATAATTTATTTTCTTTTACAGCCACTAAAGTCGATGTTGAAACTAAGAAACCAACAAAAATAAGCTTTACTAGAATTCCAGTAGAAAGTAAGCATTTTTTATTGTATATTAGATTTATTAAATCATATCTGTATAATACATGTTTGAACAATGTAGTGCCTTTTTTAGAACTTAATGCATTAAACATTATGTTCTTTGAAAGAAGTGTTAAAATAATTAAGATCTTGTAAATAAAAGTGAGAGTGAAAATATAACACCGACTGTCAAAAAGTAACTTTTAGTCAAGTTTAGCCGTGTGCTGGCAACACGAAAGAAACAGAGCAATAATTTACGTTTCATTTTGTGTACACACGTGTTTGATTTATAACACATTAAAATTACTGAGTTTTTCCCTAATTTTTTTATCTTTCTTCTAAATGTATGTATTTTATTAACGATGTGCTCATAATTTAATAATTTTAATGAATTAAATCCTGTTTATTCATTATTGTTCAATTATCCATTTTAAAATGTTTACATCAAAATGTGCGACTGTTTTACCCAGGTATGCAATATCGTATTTACCATTAGGCTGCAATCATTAAGCGTTCATGCATGTATAAAGATCTTTTGAAATTTTTACACTTAGAAATCTTTTTATCAGTGTTTATGAAAACTTAGGCTTTGTGATAACATTTATTTCAAAGCAGTGAAGGTAAGATAATAAGGTAATTCTTGGCTGCCCTGCCCCGTGAACTAAGCATACTACAGGTCCACTCCCCCTTTCTGCACTTCGTGGAGGTTCATCCTCCACTATTACTCTTCCAGGGGAGCAGCGCACCACCTGGATACGACACCAGGCAGCACTGGTCGTCAATTGCTCCTGCCAGTCGCATGGGCGAGCCCGTCGCAGAAGACCGTTACCCAGAAAACCGGGGGGATACGGATCCAACCGATCAGGACATGCCAGACTCCGAGGCCGGCCAATGCGTGACCTTTCCCAGAGCCTTCAGAACCACCGAGTTCATAAATTTTATACCCCCCGTGGCCGAGACTGCCTAGGTACAGATCCTAGCTAGTAGCTTCGCAGAGTTCTCTACGTCGACCCCAGGAGGGGAGAGCAGTGAAGGTGTAATTTTGTTATTAATATTAATTTATACTTCATTTTTAACCTTTGCCCTTACACTATCAGGCATTTTCTCCCTCATTTCTGCATGTCTTCGTGGTGTAACTGTAGCACACTCGGCACGTATGGTTCGAATGCCGGCGAGGGAATTGCTAATTTTTCATGTCTCCTGCTACAAAATAACCTAATGACTTTAAACCCTCTCGTTGTTTAACCAATTACAGCCTTGATTATATTAAATTTCGTGAATTTTATAAATGTTTTAGTTAGCATGCACATAATTTATGTTACAACTAAAATTCGACCCAAGCAAAAAAGAAGTTGGGGCTTCCGATATTGAGTAGTTCAAACTAAATATTTATTATGATTGGGTATTGTTTTTTTACATAATGATAAAAATAATATAAGTGAATAAGCATTCCTACCCACTGTAAGGCTAAGGCTACATTTCTTGAAACGTAACATTACATAATTAAATGTTGTTCAGCATTGCTGTAAAATCTTTCAAATAACCCATTTTACTTTTTTTAACTAATCAAATTACCCTACTGATTAATCTTATGATTAATCTAATGATTTCCCTACTGAGTCCCTACGGTGATTTTTATAGCATGTTAATTGCGGGAATTATTTTACTACATGAATACTTGCTGGAAATCATTTTACAATCAGACTTCATCCCTTAATTTTTAATGGATAAAGAATCATCAAAATCAAGTAGCTATTGAATTACCTCTGGATAAGGGCTAAACATAGCGAAATTTGCTTCAAAGATGCAAGATTATAAATGATGGGCTTTGGTTTTAATAGGTTTAGGTAATATGTTTATCAACACTGAAGCTACTGATAATTAACGCACATATATTCTATCAAAAGGCAAAAACCGTCCTTCTAAGTAGTGGCTGTTTTAGTCTTTAAATATTATGAATTTCTGCATATTTAGAAACTCTTCTTGCATGAATCTTGTACCTCTCACATACATCGAGAATAAATCTGGCAACAACTGTATTATAAAAAAAAATGTGCATCTCTTGAATGGCAACAGCGGATGACATTCCGTACATTTTTTTGGGGGGGAAAGCAGTCAATTCTTCTTGCAATTATATTGCGTTACGAAATTGAGGTTTGGTTTAGATAAAATAAAATCCGCTGCGGATATTAGTGATATTTATTAATTTGCTGCGGTTTAGAAGATAGGAACACATGTTTAAGTTTGCGGTATTTAAATTCAAAAGTCTTCTCAAGTTTAGAAAAATTACACTGGGCTTTTCTCGTCGTTCAGATAAGTGAAATATTTTATGTTATCGTGGTTATACATAGTTTGATAATATAAATGTGAATATAATTCTACTTAAATGCATTAAAAAAGTCTGGAATAGTATTTTAATTGGTAGATGTTGAGTACATATTCTATTTCGAAGCCTGTTGCAGACAAGTGTGAAAAGTAAGAATTTTTGCTTACGACATACGAAAGTAGCGAGCCAGCCAGGATTCGAACCTGGGATCGTTTGATATTTATATGCAGTTGAGAAAGTATTGTGTTTTTTATATTATATCATTATAGAAGTAAATATTTATTGAGTCTTCTTTGGAAAGGTTTCATCATCTGCAATGTTGAAATTTGTATTTGTATTCGAAATAATTTCGATTTGTTATGTATGAATGTTTAAATTAGATTTTTTTGTAAAGTGGTGAAGATTTTTATTATTCTGCTTTTAGTTATATTACCCAAAGTACAACTACACGAACAAAAACTTTTTGTTTGTTTCGTAATGTTAAATAATACATTCTTTTGAACAGGTGTAGACTTCACCGATGTAATGCCTTCTACAACGATAGGTGTTATCATAGAGGAACCCAAAAGTAATGCATTTCTTCTAATCTGATTTCAGAATAATTATATTTTCTGAAGTAATATTATGTAATTACTTATTCTTTAACGTGTATATTTTCAGCCTCAACAGAAACGGAAGTAGCCACATGCACTACAACAGAAGTGGTACACACTCCTACGAGTAAGTAAAAACCTCTTTCAACAAAATACTACGAAATAATAAACTGTTTGAGTGAATTCGAAACTGTCGATTAATTTGAATATCAGAACAATAAACAGTATTTTCTGGCGTAATATTTCTGAAGCAAGCGATATTATTACGAATTTCGTACTTATATAAATAATTTTGTTGAAATTATAGTAAATTTTATAATGCAACTTGAAAATCTAAAAAGGCTATGATTTCCTGGAGAAAAAAGAATACGGGGGCAAATCTATTTCAGATTGAGTACATGGCTATTTCGCTAAATTGGAGAGATATCGCAAAGCTGGTGACGATTTTTGTGACTAACTTTTGTCACTAAATTTGGCGAGAAATCACCAAACTTGGCGACCATTTGGCAACATTTTTTCCGATTCCTGAATAACTGCATGACAGCATTTTTCTGCTTGGATAACGTCTTAGGTGGAGAGCTTTCATGGTGGTGATCAGATCAGATCAGTGGGTATTGCAACTGAACATATGTAATTGATCCTATGTGTAGCTGTAACCATATCAGGCCTTCATATGCTTTCCAGTTATTTCGAGAAAATCTAGAGATTTCTGGGCGGCCAGAAAATTGTATAGGACTGGAGACCATCAGTTTCTCAGTTGCTAGTTCAGAGCTGAAATCGGTGTATTAAGATATATGTGTTAGCTTCGCTCTTTAAATGCGTTTTGCATTGCGTTGCATTTAACGTTCTTAGTAGTGTGAGGTGTAACTACTCATTGTATTTGTTGATACTGTGAAGAGCTGTAGAAAGCTCCAGAATTGTGAAGTGACTCTTCTGATAAGACACATTTTATTAAACTACAAATTTTGCGGGAATTTTGTTGAATGATTACTAACGACAAATTTCGACTCCTTAACTGCATATTTCGATTTCAAAGAATGTGTTTTTTAAGGGGTAAAATGTTTTGCGTGATATATGCATTACTTTTCTTAATGAAATTTGTGCAATCAATGTAATAAAAGAATATTTTTATAAGGTATGTAGGATTTAGAGTGTTAAGAAATATCACATTTAAGAAACGAAGTAGGTTTGTGAGAAAAACAAATTAAGTTAATAAGGGAGCGAAAACATATTTTTGCGTTATGTACATATTTTTTATCGCAATTGCTTTAATTAGTCTTTCATATATTCATCAAGCGTCACTGTCTAAAGTCCGTACTCACACACTTTTTGACGTCAGAAGTGGGATTTTTAAGGCCAATAACAAGAGCGATGATCAACAACTAAGCTTGTGACTGCATTTGCAGCATTCTAAGAAATGATGTAAGGAGCAGTCAAGTCACTTCAACAGGAAATGAAAAGAGAAATTATTGCCATAATAGAAAACAAATTCGAAATTTTGAAACGCACAATAGACACTGTTGATAACAAAGTTGAAGAAAGAGTTTCTTCTATAAAAGAATTTCTGAGGCAGAGTTTAAAAGGCAGAGTAAAAATTAAAAGGCAGAGTTTCTGCCGTCCAACGACAGATCGATTACAGAGTTTCTGATGTCGCCAAACACGTTGACACCTTAAAGAAGTTTATGGCGATAACAGGAAACAATTCTGACAGTTTTAAATTTTTACTCATGCCTTCTCATCCTTCTCTAAGGCTATAATGGAAAGACCTCCTGTCAAGTATATAAGACTCAGTTTTCTATAGCGGCGGATGCAAATGGATGGGATTCCCAAGGGTCATCCTCTAAGGCAGGTCTACAGACTGCTAAACAGTAAGATGTAGCTAAACACAAACTGACATGAAAGAAAGCGATGTTATCCAACTTTCAACAAGTCCTAGGCCTCTCCTATCGTCCTGGTCAAAAACCGATTGTTCAAGTAGATGTTCTGTTGACTATCTACGGTAGAACGAAGTTACGAAGAAAAACAGCTAATTTCTTCCAGAATTAAAGACATTCGGGAAACTCTTTCTTTAAGCAAGTAGTCTTCAACGCTTTATTTAAAGAAAGGATATTGTCAGGTAGAGATAAACCCTGATAACAGAGATAGGACGGCATTTACTGCTGGACAAGGACTTTGGCAGTTGAAAGTTGTACTGTTAAGATTATGTTATGTACTGGTAACCTTTCAACTCGTTATGGAGACTGTTGTGAGAAATCTTTCCTACGAAGCATATCTGACGTACCAAGATGACACAATCACCGGCGGGAAAACCTTTGAAATGCAGCTAGAAAATCGCATACAAGTGCTTCAGAAACTGAAAGAAGCAAATCTAGTGTTAGTCTGCCCAAAAAGACAGGAACTTCAGACATGTCATCTCTGCCAAAGGTGTGTGTACGGATCCAGAAAATTTTTCGGCAGTTAAAGGTTGGAGACCCCGAAGATCTCAATCAACTGAGAAATTCGCTGCAGCTTTGCAGCTACTATAAGAGATTTGTGAAGACTTTTCTCCCATCACAAAACCTCCTCACAAACTGACAGAGAATCAACAAACATTCATGTGGACCAAAGAATATGAGGAAGCATTTAACAAACTGAAGTAAGCTTTAACATTTGTGACAATCCTCACAAATCATCTGCTCAACAAATGAATTATTCTCGACACGGAGATTCACGACGAATGAGAGTGGTAGTGCTATTTTGTCCCAACAGATAAACATTCAAAAACGGGCTGTCGCATATTGAGCAAGTGTCTAGAGACCCCAGAAATATGACCTGTCATCGGAAGGGATCATGACGTAGGAACACTGATACTCTGTCTAGAAGAACCTGAGAGCTGCTGATATTGTTCCAGAGTCGAAGCGAAATTCGAGTTACTTATGCCGGTAATACGTCAGGCTACAAAATCAGCATCGCTTAACCCATACCCGTGTCGTACGTAGAAGTCATGAAATCCTAGCTGGGAGGACAGCAATATTAAACACATAATTGATTTAATGTAGTCTTTAAACAGGAAACCTACCAGGCAGGACATTTCGATCTATATTTCTAAGTCGAAACAATACTGTCCTCTCCGGGACTCACTCCACACTCAAAATGGCGTCTTGTACTATAACTTCGAATCGGATGATGGAAAGGCATTCCAATGGCAGTTCATACTTTCAAGAACTATATAACAGTCCAAAAGGGAGGCCATTCGGAATAATTAAGACTTTGCGCAGAGTTCGAGAGTTTCTACTTGTTTGATGCAAGGGCTGGCGAACAAGAGTGGTGCGGGTCAGAAAGGACCGAAGAACCGCAGTCGAGGGAAGTTGCAACATATAATGTATGGATGCCTTTTCAACATATCACATTTGACATCCTCAAACCCCTGCCACGGACTGCTGATGGCAGCAAATACATCTTCGTTGACATTGATGACTTCACCAAGGGGCGTGAAGCATGTGCTATTCTTTATCAGCAGACATCAGCAGACTGTGACAGTACAGAGGTACTGATACAATACTTGATTTCAAGGATCAGACTGACTCTTCAGTTACATTCTGATCAAGGAAGACATTTTACTGCAGCTGTAATTAAAGACCTCTTCAAGCTACTCGCCATCCACAAAACTCACACGGCACATTTATATCTCCAATCAGATGGGTTGGTAGAGAGGTTTAATCGAACCGTCCATAGTAACTTCTCGCTGATGGTTTCCAGAAACAATAGGATTGGAACCAGAAGTTATCCCTGTTCTTACTGCCTTTCGCAGTGTTGTCCAAGAGACTACCGGCTATTCCCCATGCCAGATGCTCTCCGGTCGTTATACATTCATCTGCCTTGTGATCTGCTTTTGGTCTCTCTCCGGATGCGCCTTCATCGCCTGGGGATTACATCCAGAATCTCCAGGCAGGAAGGCCACAGTTTTGGACGAGAGCGAGTCAACGTGGCAGTAGAGAATATGAAGCCTCGACACGATACAAGAGCTACACGACATCGATTCAACGAAGGGGACAAGTTATGCTTATGGAATCCAATTCGACGGAAAGGACTTTCTTCTAAATTACACTCACATTGGGAAGGCCCTTACAGAGTCCTAAACAGGTTGAATGACGTGGTAGTTCGGATCCGTAAAACATCAAATACTAAGCCTGAAGTCGTTCATTATGACAGGTTAGCCCCTTACTATGGCCATAGTACGTAGTCCGCATAGTGCATATAATGTACATAGCTATAATACTATTTATATGTAAATTTGTCAATTTATACATTTATTCATTGATTCATTTTGATGCTACTGGTTGAAATTATTGTTTTAGTACTGCATTGATTTTCCTTAGCTGAAATATGGCTTTTTGTCCAGGGAATTTACTGCCCGGGATATGCAGTCCTCGGGAAGCGGGCAATGTCACGAATTTTGTACATATAAGTAAATCATTTTAGTGAAATTATATGTGAAACTGCAGTGATTTTTTTGTATAATGTAACCTGAAAATCCAAAGATGCGATGCTTTGCCGGAAGAATAAGAATACAGGGCCAAGTCTATTTAACAATGAGTAAATAGCTATCTCGCTAAACTGGCGAGATATCGTCAAGCTAACGGCGGTTTTGGCGACTAATTTTATTTCCAAATTTCGCGAGAAATCACCTAAGTCGCCTAACATGGCAAGTTTTTGGCAACATTTTGTTCTGGTCCCTGTAAAACTATAATGGGCGTTGTATTTAAATATCTGTAGTTGATCCTATCTGTAGGTGTAACTGCATCAGACACTCATATGCCTTCCAGGAATTCCGAGATCTACTAGAGATTTCTCTGCTGTCGGGGAAAACTATACAAGACCGGAAAGATCATAAGTTTCTCAGTTGTTTGATTAGAGCTGAATTCGGTGTATTGAGATATCTGTGAAGTCTTCGGCTAATTAGATGTGCTGCCGCATTGCCTTGTGTTTGACGTTCTTAGTATTTTAAGTGAACTGCGGATTGTTTTTGTTAATACTGTGAAGAGGTGTGCGACTACTCTTGTGGACAGTTTCAGAACTGTGAAGTGGTTCTTTTGATAAAATGAATTTTATTAAGCAACTATCATTGGTTCTGTGTGCATTCAATATGTTACGAACACGTACGTACGCAACAATATCCATTCGAACCATTATTTTCTATTGACGGCTCCATTTCTTATGAGTAAACGTATTTACTAAGTAGAAGCTAGAACTGAAGAAAGATTGATAATTGAAAAGATCTTCCTTTGGACTCCCTTGTAGCTAGTTTTATCGAAGTCACATCTGGGCATTCCCCTTTCCATCGAACTGAATGACAGTAAGGGGTTCCTTGCCCGCTGAACCAGGCCAGGGTTTCGACCCCTGCCCCCACACCTTGGAGAAAGAGACGCATCGCTTACGCAACACTGATCGTTATTATTTGCTACCTGCCAGGCGCTCAGGCTGCCCTTCGCAGAGGGATATTACTTAGCGTACCCGGGGCTCAACTCCAGGCAGTACTCGGGACGCTGTCCCAGGCTACTAGAGCCCTAGGCTCTAGGATCTGCCAGTACCCACGGGTGGACCAATGATTGATCTTTCTGCGGCCTTCAGAACCACTAGTTTCGTAATTTGTATACCCCTGTGGTCGAGACTGCCTAGGTACAGGTCCTAGCCAGTAGCTTCGCAGAGTTCGACCCCCCCAGGGGGAGGAAATTTTAGCGAAATGCGTAGTGATATACCTGTCATTAAATATTTAAAATATTTATGTTTGTGTGAATGCATGCTTAGCAGCATGTGCAATCGGAGTATTGGAAAAAAAAACTAACCAAAGTGATTACTACACTCAGGCTACGATTCATTTGTACCGAAGTGTAAATTGCCTCCTCATGTTGAAATATATCAAGGCTCGTTATCATCATGTAATTAAAGCAGAATTCATTGACACAGTGCAGAGTGTATTTCAAAAATGTTGAAATAATTTCGTGAATTGTGTTAAAAATTACTCATAGACATATTGCAGACTACAAGGGTTATAATTCTGATGCTCATCAATAGCGTGCCTTTTGTTAATAGTGGTTAAGATTAACGACAGTAGAGAAAATTATCACAATTGTAGATAACATTACAGAAAGGCTTATTTAACTATTTGTTGAAATTTAAATTTACTGTGCATTTATCAAACAAAATCGTTTTGAATTTTATTTTAATGAATGATTTTCCTACCAAAACTAAAATACACAAATTAGATTCCAGGGGATAAAACAAAAGAAAATTGCATAAAAGTTGTATGATGTGCCGGAAATAAACAGGAAATTCTTGTAGATGTTAAATCCCAGAATTAAAATTAAGTAGCATTCAAAAAAATCACAGAAAATTTTCAATTAAATTCTGATTTGTTTCTAATCGTTCATAAAGAATATGTAACAAATTTTATTCCAAAAATATGATTTAAGAATATTTTTAGCCTAAAGGTCGTTAGCCCGGCAGGGCTATTAAATTCATTTCGGCATTTTGCGTAGAAAACTTTAAAAGTCTGAATCACTTTTCAAATTGCTACCACCAAATATTATCGTCTTGTATTATATTTAGAGAAATTAAATAATAAAGAATCTGCATTTTTGCATATATATTTTTCGCATTGTAATAAAACGATGGTACCTGGAGATCAAATTTTGAATAACGTATGTCTCCACCTGAATATGGTCATCTTCAAGGCCAAATTTGGTATTTTGGATTTTTTATTATATATTCTATATTTTGTAAAGCATTTATGAGTTTGGAATTAAGAATGTCAACGATTTCAAAGCGAGCAATGGCAACAACGAAAAAAAAAAAAGCATTTTTATCTCCAGCATAGGAGATTGTGTATCGGAAATTCTAAAAATATGCTCTTTTTAAATTATTTTGAGATACAGCTGTTGAATTGAGTTTTATGTTAAGTGCGAAGAACATCATATTAAATAGATAAAGGTTACACAAATACCATTACAAAAACGCCGCTTTGTGTCTAATATAAAATCTGAAAGCTTTCAGATTTTTTTATTATTTATTCTATGCATCATCGCTTTCTGTCATTTTATTTCCAATGAGAAAGACTAATAAATTTTTCATGAATACATTCTCGGGTTAACGAATTAATTTTCTCATAATTAATTTTCATCATCTATTAAGTTTATGATTTCTTCTTAATTTTAAATATAATTTGATTTTTTATTGAGTCGTGGCAAATCAAAATTGTAAAAACAGAGAATTTTCGTTACCTTTTTAATATAAGCTTAATTATTAAATAGATTTCAGAGTTCTCTCTTCGATACACAGAAAGAAGGTTTAAAGTTGCCATGGTGGTAATTATATAAACGTCATATGTTTTCCTAAATGCAAATTAAAGAGAAATTGGACTCAATTTATTTAAATTTAACTTTTAAATGATTTCATCATATATTTCTAAATAGATTTGGAATCTAGTTTTCTGTCAGTGTGTGCAAGTTTAACTAGTTTAACTAACAGAATATCAAGGCCTAGTCTCTATTGGATTAAAATGTGATACAGGTATTGCATTCTAAACACGAAAAAAATATTAATTACATAAACGAGACTTATTTTATAGTTTTCTTTAAATTTACTTACACAATTAAGGCTGGGCACCTATGAGGCAACCATATTTAATCTAAATTTAGTAAAATTATCGCCTGTGTTGGAATATATAAACTTCGTAATATATTTTTATTTGTTTCGACTTATTTTTATATTTCTCTAATTATATATCGTTATTTTATTTTTAGGAGCGACGTGTACCGACCATATGACTCCATCATCTACCCAGACTGAAAGTATTACTATGCCAAGTAAGTACAAAATTCGTACATTTTGGTAAATTTTAACTCGCGTTTAAGTTTTTAAAAAGCATTATTCAGAGTAACATGTATTTCATAATAATATTTCTTATAAATATTATTTTTTCATTTTCATGGATTAATGCCTTTTATTTAACGTGGTTTAGTGCGCTATTTCGATGAATTAATACGTTATCATCTGTATTATAAACTGTGCACACCTGTGAGCTCAGCGGCCCCAATATATGTCGTTTTACTTGTGCGACGAGAGTATAGAGTCAGTAAGCTCATTAAGGACACATTCCTTCCTTTCAATACTCAACTATTCCATCTCATGGATCAGCAGGTAATTTAGAAAGTTAAAAAAAATGTATATCAAAACTATTTCAGCGTTGCTTCAATGTGACTGAAGTCATAAATATTACATTCCTCAAATTTTGGTCATTTCTAAATCGCAAAGTCTCAAGATCATAGATGAAACCTGGTATGCGATCACCAAGAAAACTTTCAATTCTGCTTTGAGAAAAATATGGTCTGATTCTACAGCGGACATGATTTTGATGGGTTTACTCACACTGCCAATGGCATTGTATTCTTGGGAACGATAATAGAACTGCAGTTCAGTAAGAACGACTATTAAAAGCTGGTGAAAGAGAATCCCATGAGCGAACGATATATGAACTGATGGATCTTCATCGCGAACAACAACAAAAGGTTATAAAGGAGATTTTATTTGAAGAGGAGGAAAGAAGGATGAAAGAATGCATCACTTTAAATTAGATTACGGAAACGTGTACAAAGTAAGAAAAAAGTGAAAAAACATTTATATAAATTCACCATTTTAATACAGCCAGCGTGGTGCGGACGATGAACATTTTTAATGATAATGCAATATCACATTTGTATGAAAACCTCAAAAGAAAGTAAACGTAACTGTCTTTAAATACTTTGCTTGTTAATGTTGCATATTAGAAAGAAAGCTATTCCACTGCACCGACAGATAGCAATGATTCCGTTTGTTAGCTATGGTTGTTTTTAACGGTAAAGAGTAGCTTAATTTGTTTTTAATATTTCTTTATGTTTCGTAGTAATCAATTCCATATGAATATTTAAAGATTTTGGAACATATCATCTGAGTTTTTATTAATTCATTATTAAATTTTCTTTGATATATCAGTTCTTTGGAATACAAGAATGTTTCCGGTGCAGTTATACTCGAACTTACAGCACCATTGTAGTAGCTAATAGGAGAAATAATTAGTAGTAAATAAACGATATCAATAGAACTAGAATCTGTATAGAACAGAAACGGTAATAGAAATTTGGAAATCTATAATAAAGAGAATTCCTCACTATCCTCTTAAAACATTATGCCTTAATTCCTTTCCACGGTATTGTATACAGCATTTTCTTGTGTAAAGACATCACTGTCTAAGTATTACAAACACTAAAAAGAGGTAAACTTTAACAGGCAAAATATTCAACTCTATAATCTTCTCAGCAATTATGGATAGAGATGTTTCTACATTAAATAAATAAAAATAAATAATACTCCCTGGTCCACCCACTCTGTTATTTGCCGTAATACTTCTTAAGCTGTATGCACATACAAAAAAATCTTTTGGGTCACCTGCTCACATGGTTTGCTGGAAAAGGATTCTCGGGATCAAGCAATGCTCTTTCTATTATTCATTATCAATTTTCGATAGCCACAAACTCACTTCATTTACAAAGATGAACGAGCTGTAAGCATAGACACACCAATAAAAGAAATCCATGATATAACTCTTAAGATGAATTCTTCAAAAACAATTGATTCAGTCACAATGATTAAAAATGGCATAATATCAAAGAGTAGAAGCTGAGAATGTCGCTTGCTCAAATCTTATCAGTCTTGCCACGAGGATATGACTTCCATCGAAATCATGACAAGTGGCAGGAATTCCATCTGCCATTCGGAGGTTCTATTTATTGTATGTAAGACCAGAGGCAAATGTTAAGTGATGGTCTGATAATAGTACAAATAGTTGTCGTTATTTGTGAGTTATGGTTTGGTTAATCATTTAATTATTAGCTGAATACCAGTCTTTTGTATGGGCAGAAAGAAAAATCTTTTGGGTCATCTGCTCACATGGTTTGCTGGGAAAGGATTCTCGGGATCAAGCAATGATCAAGCAATTCATGATTCATTTTCGATAGCCACAAACTCACTACATTTACAAAGATAAATGAGCTGTAAGCATAGATACACCAATAAAAGAAATCCATGATATAAATATTAAGATGAATTCTTCAGAAACGATTGAGAGAAGAGAAGCATAAAAGTTATGGGAGAGTCTATAGAAGACTTCCTCCCTTCAGAAAAGGTAATCACTGGAAAGGAAGAAACTTACTCTACATTCCTGCATAGTATATACTATTTCTAAACCTATCTGATTGTCGAAGGAATGAAACTTTCCAGAGAAATGCTGTGAAATCATGTGATATATATGTAAGAGAATTATTTAAGAAATCATATAATATTTTCTGTGATTAATATATTAAAAAAGGGCTCTTCAATCATTAAGCGAGTACATGGGTGAAATGTAATTTAACTTTGAGTAAAATAATGTTGGAAAATTTGCATTCCCCCTTTACATCTGGGCAGTGATGAAGACTTTGAAATGCTTTATAATAATGCGGTAGAAATCAATATTGTTTGTCATCCTGATATGGCTATGTGTGACGCTATTATCTTACAATCCTGATATGGCTGTAACCATGATTCTTTCCAGCATAGTGCAGCAATGAGATTCCTGGAATCTCGACATGGAATGTAGCTGTCGAAGTCAGGAATGGGCACAGGAATTAAGCAGAGAGTCCCGCACAGCATTTACTATGAAGCAATGCATCAACTCATAGCCAAATATTTGAGTACTTAATGTAATGTAATACTCGAAGTAATGTTATAGTTATCATTGTCAAGTTCATGCCAGTTAATCTCCTCCTATTCTCCAACTTATGTTTTTTCTCATATGTCATGGTTTGACATATTCTGTTCAACGAAAAGCCCCATTAGAACTTATTTTTCACTTATAGCCCCGTAGGCTCCTTTGGTTGAGTACTACATTCCCTGCCATGTATTTGGGTTTCTGATTGACTCCAGTGTAACAACAATAACAGCAAAAGATGTCTGGTTTTAATTTTAAAAAATAGCTTTAAGGTGCGTTTGGATCTTCTCTGAAAAACCAGTGTTGATTCCCATACCTATGAACCTTCTTGTGTTTGTAACTATACTATACACATACACACTAACAAACTCTTTCTTTTATTATTATTATTTTGAGGTATAGTAAGAAGATACCCAGAGAGATAATTCGACATTGCATTTTACTGAGAGCTGAAAACTCCATTTGCACTATACTACAGATAAATCAGATTAAATTATGCTTGTAAATCTGTCTGCAATTAAGCGCAGTCCTACTATTGCAAAACAGCTGTTAATTGCTAGAAGAAAATCCTAAAGGTTCTGATCTCATGCTTAGTAAACAATATAACCACAACTTGAATTTTTCTCCCTGCATGGACTCGTTTATCTCTCCCTCATTTGTTCAGATTTGCAGCTCTGCTGATTAGTGATGGATAAAAGCATATAAACTTATTAATTCTACCAGTTTTCTAACACAAATTTGCTGAAATTTATAAAACTTTTAGTACATATTAAGGCATTTTTTTCTGTTTTAATATGCCTGTGTTCTGTTATACTAACAAAGTTCTGTTAAAACTTTCATTTCATAAACAAGAGTTTTGCTGAAAAAGTTAATTGCCTTTTCCTGCCCATCAAAGAGTTAAGCAAGTGAAGGCATCGGTTACATCATATACCATTCAAAGCTCTTGTCTAATTTGAGCCGGTTCTTGATTACGCTAGGATGGTTTATGTGTCCGTGTTTGATACAGCATGTTGTGAGATGACAGACCGTTTTTTGTGATCGCAGTACCTCCATCAAGTAGCCATTGTAATAAAGCGTGTTATTCTTAAGGGGACTCGTACACCTTAAACCCCTCATGATTTTCGAAAATGTGACTGTTGCAAGAATTGGGATATTTTATTTATTTTAAAAGCAATTACTTCCAACTTTTTACAGCTGACTACATAATATAGCTGCTTTGGAAACACTAGTAACCAGAAAGTTTGCGTTGCCACAAATATTTTTGTAATTTAATCCTCTTTGTGACAAAATATTTCGCCATGTTTCCACCTTGCGCGCACGATATTTTAAAAATGGTTAATGGTACATACTTGAAATTTGATGGAATTTTTTATATGGGTACTATTTTCTAAATGAACCAACAATCTGGTGAATATTTTAATATTGAAAAATTTTATGGACGAAAACATTACAAATTTTGTTAATAAAATATATTTTATAAACTCAACTGAAAATAAAATAAAAATTTAACATGAAATTTTTAGAATGTTAGGTTCACAGTAGTTTCCAAATGTTATAAAAGCTATATATTAGATATGGAATTAAATTATGAAACAGAATGAATGTTTTAAAAACTGTGCGCGCAAGTTGGAAACACGACGAAAAATGTTGTCACAAAGCGGATTAAATTATATAAAAATATTTGTGTGGCAATACAAACTTTCTGATGACTATTTCAGAAAGAAAGCAGCTATATTATGTAGTCAGCTGTAAAAAGTTGGTAGTAATTGCTTTTAAAATAAATAAGTTATCCCAATTCTTGCAACAGTCACCTATTCGAACATCTTATGGGTTTTAAGGTGTACGAGTCCCCTTAATTCCATCAGGTAATCCTTTTTTTAAACATTGATACATTGACAGCTTGGGTTTCAAAGGCTGAATTGTGGTTTGCAAATTACACAAATCGTTTTGATTCCCAACCCCTGATCGGACTATACTATTTTTAGTAAATATGAAACTCGTATATACAGCTAGTATTTCCAATAACGCTACCAGACACTATCATAAGCAACAATTTTTTCAGATTTATCCTAGTGAGAAATCTACAAAAATGCATTGGGCGATGACTGCAATGATATCGACTAGCACAAAAACCTCAATGAAGTGAGCAATTCCGGTTATACCTGCTGCTCTATCAAATCTGCTCAGGATTGCATCCATAGATTGTTTGACTCAATTCCGTTGCTTATTGTATCCCGCATTGCTGTTCATGACGATGCAATCATTTATGGAGGCTTTCACTGCTTATGTTATCTTCTAAGCAAAATAGGTGTCGAAAAATACAATCGTGGTAACGTATTTTATTTTTATGCTCAATTTCGCCCTATATCTTCAATTGTTATCGATTGGGCAATTTCAGTCTCAAATAGCTTTTTCAAAAATTTCTCTGAGTACTTTCTGGTGACTGAATTTTCATTCTCAGAAAAATAGACTTAAGTTTTTCAATATTTCAGTTAATGGCACAGATGAATTTTATATTTTTAGTTTATGAATGTATTGTAATACTATATGAATATAATGCAAATTTTTACCTTTTTACAGCTGATAATATTACTCTAACCATAGACGTCACAACCGATTACATCGAGAAGACGCCGCCTACAGGTAATTCAAATTTCTTACTATGATAATATTTACTGCGTAGATTTAATGAAAGAATTCAAGTACTCAACGCATTCATAATTTATTGGTTAGCTAGCTCATTAGAAGCAGTCCTGTATTAAGTCAAAAACAAAGAGTATTCATATATGGTATAATAATGGTAGTTAGTTCAAATACTGATGTCGTAATGATATTTAAAAGACCGACAAGAAATCTCCTAATATATATAACAATTTATCACTTTTCATCAAAATTGTAAGAAGCATAAGCAAAAGTTTTGGCGGTCGTCTACCTGTTCTCTAAAGCATACAATTCTAGGCTAATTACTGTTTCCTTCTTAGACTAATTTTTAAATTCCGTCTACGAAATAAAGGAAGTATTGTAATCGAGAAAAATTTCCGGTGTTATATTTCAACGAAAATATTGATTTCGACCACTCTCGAAACCATTTGAATGAATGATTTTTTCGCGTACATATGTACGTACGTACAGAATAAAGCACTGTTTTTGCCAAAATCATTGTAAAAGGGATTAAAAGAGACCTTTTTCTTGACATCTCTATGTATGTACGTATGCATTTATCCCGCATATTTCAATAATAATTAGCCGTAGAACACTTAATTTTTGTATATGAAACTTCTATAACATGTAGTTGTGCACCTCTCTTTTTAGTTGCAATCGTCTGCATCAGTCGTGTATATATATACATGTTTTCACTGTTTTACCTGGCTCGGTAAGCTTAGTAATTTTTATCCTTATATGTTGGTGAATTTGCAATGTATGTTTTAAAAGTTATTGAAGTAGACGGTTTTTATGTTGCGATTAAGGTTTATATGCCTTTACTAATCTGCATGCAATATTTGTAGAATTATCAACAATTTAAAAGTGGTAAGTAACGCCTAACCAATCGTCGATACAACAGTGAATTCAGTTTCTTCACCTTTATTAATGTCTTTTTCCCGAGCGGGACCAGAAGTAAACTTTCAGTTTTGTGCACCGAAAAATTTGCTTTCTTTCCCGCTCGCCGAATTGCTTGTTTTCGCGTAAAAACTCGATTTGAATTGTAACAAAAAATTTTTTTAACTGTTTTAACTGTATTTGGTGTTTTATGTTTTTCTGCAATTTTCAATTTTTAATGAAGACGTTTTGAGTTTTTATTTATTTCTGCCTTGTCGTGAAGTGCGAACTGAATTAAGGGGTATCAGAAACCCTATACCGACAATGTTAAATTGGCCATTTTCGAAGAACCTTTTCTCAAAATCTGCTGTAGATACAAGCTTAATTTTTTTCTGTAATTAAAGTATACCTATCTGATTATACTGAAATGAGCTTTTGAAACATTTTGAATTTTAGAGTAAATTACAGAATATTTTGTTAGGCATAGTAAAATTTAGCACTTTCCTCACACAAAAAAATTATTTTTTTAAGTTTATTACAAAAAGCTCATTTCAGTAAATATTAGGGAACCTAATAAATAAGCCATAAAAAGTTTAGATACCTGTGAGCGGTAGTTCCCGAGAAAAGGTACATTGAGTATAAAAAAATCACGTTTGGAGAAAAACGCGTTTTTATGTAAAATTCCTCTTTGATCAAAGCAGTAGATGACAAATTAAAACTAGATTTTTTACAGTTCTAACTTTCATAGAGATTAAAGAATGGTATTTTTAGAAAGATAAAAGTGTAGAGAATTTGAAAATGCGAAAATCCGAAATCACAATTTTTTGAAGATTTTGGGGGTTCCAACACCCCTTAATTGAATGAGAAATATATTTCTAACGAAATTCGAGGAAATTTTAGGAAGTTTCGAGGAAGTTTAAATGAAATGCAGCAAAAAATGTGTATACTTTAATAGCCTGTCCAAGGAAATCATATGATGACTACATAAGATTTTTTTGTTTTTGTTTTTTGTATAGTTTTATCTCGATAAATCACACATCTGAAATTTTAGTGCTATGAGTGGTTGTATTTTGTATATATGTACACAGGAAAGAATCCCGCGGCACGTCTTATAGACCGAATATCGCAATATGTATTGCTTAAACACTAATGTAAGATGAAGTATATGTTGTTGTATATGTTGTTACTTATGCTCGCTTGTCTGACAGTAACATCCACCGAAGCCTACGAAATTCCTCGTGGGAAGGAGCGCAAAATACTCCTGTCGTTACAACAGCCTTGAGCACCTTACAGGTGACAGTGTGATTTAGCTTAGTTTCGCCCCCCCCCGGTTTTGATGGAGAACACTCAGGGAGGACGGGTCCGTGAGTATCGCACCCCTCTCCCTTTCCACCAAACCACACGAGGGGATTTCGTGGTCGATGCATATTTAGAGTGCCTCCATTCCGCACCGACACTATACATTTACAAACATCCATGTCTTCTCCGGGATTGGAACTCGGGCTTTTGGGCACGGCAGTCAACGACGCTAACCACTATACCGTTTGGGTGGAAGATGAAATATATTAAAGTAGGGGGAATACATAACTGGCTCGAAATGTATTTTATTGATATGTATATTGATTGTCGGAAATTCTGTTGCAAGTGCGAATGTTCTCCAAACATACATATCTAAAATGAAATATACTGTAGGATTTTAACCGGAAAACAATGTTGGATAAGTGCTATAAAAAAAAGTTGGTTTGTATTTTATCTACACTGTATCTTAAGCACAATCGTTGAAAAGAAATTCCCAGCACATTCCTTGAAATCTCGCATTAAAATGAATTTCATTTTTATACGAAAGAGTAATATACATTTCTGGTGTAAAAGTGTGAAGGCATCAAAGAGAGTAAGAAAAATTAGGGACTGATAACTGTATTCTGTATACTTTTTGACAATAATTAGCAAATATGTTTTTTTCATTTTCTCTTTCATGAGGAAAAGCTCTCAAGGAAATAATTAAATTTTACAAAAAGTGACCCTAAAAACAAATGTTTTATTGTTTGTTATTAGAAAATGACACCTACTTTAAATGGTAAAATAATATAAAAGGAGGTAATTTTAAATTAACTTTTCCAAAAGCGAAAAAAACGGCTTTTTACTCAAAATTGCAATACAAAAGAACTCCACAAACTCATACTAAGGTAAATAACAATACAAAAGCAACGCAATTTTTAAAATGACAGCGTTCAGTTAAAACAATACTTTGATACACTAATCATGGTAAATTTACTAACGGAAAATCTAAACTGAAGTAATAACATAATCACCTATGCATCAAAATAATCAAAATTATTAAACAGTATATAAAAACCGAAAAAATATCATCAGGTTAAGTATAGTTCTTGAACAGGAGTAACTGATAGTCCTCCATTAAAAAACTGGAATATTTTATTTATAATGTAGAACTGTTCATTGTTGATTTAAGTGGGATTACATATGCCAGCAACATTCGCAGTTGCAGATCCGCAAAATTTTTGTCTGTGATAAAACTGCTATTGGCCAAAAGACTTATCGATAATCTAAACAGTACATACATGTATTACGTATGCTACAACTACAATTGACCAAAAGACTTATCCATAATCTAAACAATACATACATGTACTGCATATGCTATATACGAGGTGTGACACAAAAACGAGAGTGGTTCAATAAATCATTGCACCTACAAAATCAGGTGGATAAGTGCTATAAATAAAGTTGGTTTGTATTTTATCTACACTGTATCTTAAGCACAATCGTTGAAAAGAAATTCCCAGCACATTTTTTGAAATCTCGCATTAAAATGAATTTCATTTTAATGCGAGAATGCACCTACAAAAACAATGGTGGATAAGTGCTATAATGGTGGATAAGTCCATGACATTATCACCTTATCACCTTCAAGGTAGTCCCCTTCAGCATTCACACACCTCTATATTCGGTGCTACTATTGCTGGTAACACTTCTTGAACGAGGTTTTTGGACAGTCCTTCAGGAGATTTCCGTTTTTACCTGAACCTCTTCAACTGAGGTAAAATGGCTTCCCTTTAAGCAAGATTTAACTTCAGGAAATAAAAAAAACGTCGCATGGAGGCAAATCATGTGAATAAGGTGATGCCCCCTCACAGTAATGTTTTTGCTGGTTAGAAACTTCTTGACAGATAGGGCAGTGTGAGCGGGGACATTGTCCTGGTGCAACAGCCATCCATCACTTCACAACTCTGGCCTTCTTTCCCTAATTTTTGTAGGAAGTCGTTTAGTACTTCAGAGTAGTGATGTTGATTAACAGTCCGACCACTGGGAACTGACTCAGTCATTACAATTCCATTAATGTCGAAGAAGACTAATATTGCCTTAAATTTGTATTTTGACATGCGTGCTTTGCCCCTTTTTATTGAAAACCACTTATGCCATTCAAACACACGTGCACGAGACAAAGTTTTATCTCCATAAGCCTCAGTTAACATTTGATATGTTTCGGTGGCTGATATCTTAAGTTTTACAAGAAACTTGATGTTGATTCGCTTTTCGGTTTTTACATTAGACATTTTTACCCCGCAGAATGCATTGCACATGTTCACTCAATTACGCAGAACTCACTGGTGTGATCGGTTAAGTCGGAACTGGCCGCATGGATAGAGTAGGAGTGTGGGATGACATCACCAAAACAGTTGCTGCCAACTCCACTCTTTTTTCAAGCTACATACTTTCTCTCTCTTTTTTTTTTTTTTTTTTTTTTTTTTGTGTGTGTGTGTGTGTCACACCTTGTATTATATATTAGTCTTACAATAAAATAAGCTAAAAGAAATGAAATTGTTCTAAAAGAGAAAATACATCTAGACTATTCTAGTGTCTTTAGTATCATATTTTCTACAATATCAATTCATCGATATTACATGTTCATTGATACATACAGTCTTTGATTTTCCACATAAAATGCCTGTCTATCATTTACTAGAATCACTATTATTATACACGACACGGTATACTGAAAATTTTTAAAATACATTGTAAATAAGAGGTCACACCTTTAACTTGAAATTTTACAGACAATTTTATTCAAATATAATGATTTACCTTAAACTGTATTTAGTATCACAGCAAATTATCGACAGCAACAGAACAATAATTTTCATACGATTATCGTCTGCTCTATAGCTTTCCTTCCTTGGGTTCCTTGGGTAGAATGTTTGGTTATCATCGGGAAGCCAAGTGTTTGAATCTCGACAAGGCCACTGATAATTTTTCTTGTCTCCTGCTAACAGACTGTAAAAGCACCCCAAGCTAAAATGTGATAGATGATAATTCGTAACTACTTAATTCGTAACTACTCGGATTTGTCGAATCGCTCTTTAAATGGGGAATAATGTCAGAAATATTCTTCTTCCTTGTCCCTTGCCTTCGTGGTATAGTTGGAAGCAAGTGCGGCTAGCATCGATACGTCTGAAGTTCGAATCCCGATGAGTGCGTTGCTGATTTTCATGTTTCCTGCTTCGCCAAGCCTAACAGACTACGCAACGTGCAAAAGAAACTTAGAAGGAAGAACTAAAATTGAATTAACCATTACTTGTGGGTTTAGCTTAAAATATGCACAAATGAATAACCGCTAGTTTAAATAAATGTAACTGTTGTTTTACGTAGCTAACAAACAATTTAATGACCTACGGTTATTACGTCTACGGTTAAATAATTAATCCAAAAATAATGCTATCTGTCAGTTAAAAATTTCTAAAAGTCATTTATCAAAATCAAACTGAAACAAGCATTCGCAAATCATAAATTACACTGAAAAATCAAAGCTAAAATTTCGTGATAAATTGAAAGCTTTCAGATTTTATATTACGCTCAAAATGGGCGTTTTTTATCTTTTCATTTACGCACACAAACGTATTTTGAGAACACTTAGGCTTAAAAATAACATGTCTTTAGAATTTCTGACAGATAACAGTCTTGCGTGCTGGAGATAAATTTTTTATTTCTTACAGTATTACTGCTGCTCGCTTTGAAATCGTTGAGGTTTTTAATCAAAAACTCGTTAAAGTTTTACAAAATGTGAAACAGGTAACAAACGAAATTCGAAATTCAAAATTCGAGTTTCCAGGTGCCCATGTTTAGGTGGAGAACAACTTTATTCAAAATCTGATGTCTCTAGGTACCGTTGTTCTTTCACAATGCGGGAAACACGCGTACATTCATGCATATTATTCATTACTTAATTTCTTTAAATATAATACAGGGCTATAATATTTGGTGGCAACAGTTTGAAATGTGATTTAACAGTTTTAGTGATTCAACGCAAAATATTGTTTCGAGACTGGCGAGCACAGAAGGGCTAAGGCCTCTTTGGTCTAAAAAGGAAAATAGAACATGTTTAAATTTTTAATTCTTATTAATTTAGCATAATTGTCACAAAAACGTTTCGTCGATGGCAATATAATCGTTTCATCATTAGACAAATGCGATCGACACTTCTATTCTGCGATATCTTGTCCCATACAGTATAGATGGTAGGCCTCATTGGTATATTGTGTACATTAATGAAGTCTCATAATTGTCTGAAATTTTTTTGTGGCAGGCATTCATTTTCATATTAAATTTCTAGAAGTGATGTTATATTAAAATATTATGTATCTAGAAATTCAAGGTTTTCTCATTCTAACTAACTTCTTACATTCAACTTTAAATGCCATTCGAAATTTTAAAAAACAAAATATCATTGCTTTTCAGGAGCGATTCTGGCTTAACTATAAGCACTTTATGAGAACCTATGCCATTTAAAATTTGCAGTGTAGTTAATAAACTGGATGGAAATAACAAACCATACTGTTATTAAGACACAATAACACGCCGAATAAGTACTAACTCATAAGTCAAACAACAAAAATCAGCGTTAATTTTAAAGATTTTCACAGGACTAGTTTCGATGGTTTTACCGAACCACCATCCTCAGCTGTAAAACCGCAAATGAACAAGATAGGAAATAATGATTAGATAAGATAAGAAAGCCTGGACAAGAATAACAGAAATCTTTTTGTTCTTGTTAACAATTCTAATTCCAATCCATCTTTGCCTTTGGACTTTAAAGAAATTATGTTTTAGTTCTAGTTTCACCAACAGATGGCGCCACTAGCTTATTCTTGTCCAGGCTTTCTTATCTTATCTGATCATTATTTCCTATCTTGTTCATTTGCAGTTTTGCAGCTGAGGATGGTGGTTCGGTAAAACCATCGAAACTAGTCCTGTGAAAATCTTGAAAATTAACGCTGATTTTTGTTGTTTGACTTATGAATTAAACCATACTGTTATTATGGTATTCAGCTGGATTAACAGAGTGTTCAGGGGGAACATAACGGACATCTTATGGCGTTTTAAATTGATACTCACAACCCCTGAACTTAGGCAAAAACAAACAGAAAGTGACTGCGAATTTATTACAATAACATAGCATACATTAATGTTAAATTTAAGCAGGTACGTTTCTCTCACCTCGCATGGCTTGCCGCCCAGACGGTATAGTGGTTAGGAGAACTTATTGGGGTACCAAAGGACCCAGGTTCGAATCCCGGAGAAGGCGTGGATCTTTATATATGCATAGCGTCTTTGAGGCATGGAGGCACTCTAAATATATGGCGAGCCGCAAGTCCTCTTGTGCGGTTTGGTGGCAGGGGAGAGGGATGGAAGGCCTTCGAACCATTCCCGAGGTGTTCCAATTTTAATAATTAGTTTTTAATTTGTGATAATAAATTACAAAATAGACTATTATTTAAGCAAGTTTTATGCTTCTTTGCAACTTTGCCTGACTTCGTTTATGGTGCGTACGTGTGTTATTTGTAAATTATGAGGTTTATTTGTGCATAAATATCTTTGAAACTGTAGTTTAAAGAATGATCTTACGGGTTATTAATTTATAAGAGTTTTGCATGTTTTCTAGAAACGTTTTAATCCTTCCGAAGCACTTGAAAATTTATTAAATAGTTAGTTTTTCGTTGTTGCTAACATTGTAATGATATTTTTCTTGAAATAATATTTTCTTACTTTTGCAGAAACACCCTACATCGAGAAGAAGCCTCAGACTACCACAGAACGTATATATATTCCTGTAGAAAGTAAGTTACATTATTAACAGTATAAGATCATTTTTTAAATATATCTTATGCAATGGAGTAATATAATAGTTGAATGAAAAGTAAAATTAAGAGCACTGAAAAATGAAGTCGTTCTGAGTTACTTCTTTAATATTTTTAATGATATAATGAACTTCCAAATTGAATAATAGAATTGACTGAAATATTCGCCTTTTTAGACGCTCATTGAAATTCTTAACTAATTAGATGTTTTGGTTCATTAGTCACCAAATTGATTAGACTGCTGAAGTACTTTTAAATTGACTCAGGTTCAACTCCCAATGAAAGAACTGGTTTTGGTATTTCAAGTTGACTAACATTAATATGAGTTAACTTCCTTTAGAACGTCACTCCACTTTAAACAGTGCCTTAATGGGGAAGCACTTTTATTTATCCTGTGATCAAAGTTAAGAATTTTTTCTGAAGGAAGACTTGCATAAAGGCTACTTTAAGTTTCAATTACATACAGTTATTAGTCCCAGTATAACAATAAAATAATTAACTTTGGAATTTGTCTAATTCATAAAAAGAAGTTAGCGACTGAAGTAATCCGAACCAAAATGCTGAGCTAAAATGGAGACGTTTTAGCTTAAAAACCCTTAGCTGTTTTGACAAATCCTTAACTCTTGACTCAAAGAAACAGAAAAAAGTTTTCAATTTATTAGCACTTTCAATTCAGGGAACAAAAAGTATACACTTAATGGATTCTCTAATAATGTAAGGTCTGTGAATGGAAATGATTTTAATTATATTAATTAATATCTAAAACATAATAAATGATTTTGTATCAAGTTTTTATGATAGATTATTATTTTATCATAAAAGAATAGCATTTAAGTCTCTGATGCCTGATGTTATTTTTAAATGAGGTGTACGAATATTTATGGGCTTTTAGTAAATGAAGAAAATGCAGAGTTCAGTTCAATTGCTTGCTTATTTGACATCGAACTTTTTTAACGCAATGCCAATATCAAAAGGTGGCCACCATTTATTGCTGTCATATAGCCAATATGATTTTAAATAATGGGGAGTGCCCTTGAATCGAGAGCATATTTTGATTTACTGCTGTAATTTCGAGAATGATTCATTTAAAATATGCATATGCAAAAAATCTCTTCAAACACTATTTCATAATTTCATCTACATCCGGAAACAATTCGTTTTCTTCTATCGTTTCCGAATACAGTTATCATCAGTAAAATAGAGGTTTTTTTTTTCAGATTTTTTAAAAACAGGGAATATACTCTCAGTCACAAAAAAATATATGTACCCAGAAGAAATTGAACTACAATCACGAAATTCTGCAAGAATGTAGGCTGGTAAGAGGCATGCAAATGATTTAAATTTCGACTTCAATGACGCAAGGATATGCGCATATGAGATGCGCAGCTGGGAGAGTTTAAAAGCATGATTGCTTGAGCCATAAGATTTAACGAATCTCTCGACTTGGATGGACGGTATTCTGACTAGAGAATGTTTCTGAGACGTAACCAGTGGCAGTACAAATAATTGTTGGACTTTGAGAACGAGTTCATAGTAGACCTCAGAGAAGAAGGTTGGTCGAACAGGCGTATCGGGCGCCACCTCGGTCGAAGCGATATAATAGTTGCTCGGCGTTGGCGACAATGGATCGCGAAGGATCAAGGCATCACAGGAAAGCAAATGAGCGCGAGGATTGCGCTATCATAATAGCGGCCACTTCAGCACCAATAACTGTGCTAGCATCGATTCGACGCCATTTACCAGCTTCCAGGCATCCAATGGTATCAAGGGAAACCATTCAGAAGCTACTGGCCGAAGCTGGTATATGATGCCGACGTCCGTTAAGACGCCTACCACTAACATCATAGGCATTGTCGATTGAATTATAGCCAAACTCGGGCAAGCTGGAGTGGGACCGACTGAAGGAGTATGATCTTCAGCGATTAATTCCGGTTCAGTCTCAATGCTGATGATCAACGCACACGCGTGTGGATGTGGCCAGATCAGCGGCCGGATTCGGCATAGTTAAACGTTCGGGTCGTTTATTCTCGCATCAATAAAATTCCGAGTTCCATACTTAACGACCCCATTCTGGATATTAATTCCTGGGGTATTTACAGGATTCCTTGCCAGTGTGGTTTAGTCAAATTAAGAAAGCTTTAAAATTTCTAAAATTTCGCGTTAAAGAAGATGAGGCATATGTTAGAAAAAGGAAACACAGTGTGATTATTCTGCAGCCAAAATTATTTAAAAAACATATTCCATTGGTGAATTAAATTTTTCTAGAGGCGTTTCACATTCAAAACAATCTTTCTGTTCCAGTTAAAGACCCTAATTCCAATCCATCTTTGCCTTCAGCCTTTAAGGAAATTATGTCTTAGTTTAATTTCATGAATAGATGGCGCCAGTAGCTTAACTCCTGTCAAGCCATTCATATCTTTTCACTATATCTTATCTTGTTCATTTGCAATTTTGGAAGCTGAGGCAGATGGTTCGGTCGGTAAAACAATTGAAGCTAGTCCTGTGAAAATTTTCAAATATAACACTTATTTTTGTTGTTTCCCTTCTAAATTAACAATGCTCTTGCTATTCTTCCGGCCAAAATTCAAAACGTACTATTTTGCAAACTTTCTTTTCATTTGAGGTTGCACTGTACAGCTTTTTCTTATTTCCTTATTAAGCTTATTAAAATTGCTGTCTTACTATCTCCATTGTGAGTCGATTTCTCCAGTTCGCTGTGAATGTTGCTGTTAGACACCAGGTGTCCCCGTTCTCCATCACCAGTCACCTGTGAATGTTGCTGGAATTTCACGGAAATGATTTTAAAATACTAATTCAGAAGTCAAACAACAAAAACCACCGTTATATTTTTAAATTTTCGCAGGACTATTTTGCAGCTGCAAAATTTACTAATACTAATTTGCAGCTGAGGATGGTGGTTCGGTAAAGCCATCGAAACTAGTCCTGTGAAAATTTGAAAATATAACGCTGATTTTTGTTGTTTGTCTTCTGAATTAATATTTGTTCGGCGTGTTATTGTGTCTTAATGACTTTAAAATGTTTCAAGAAAAAAAAAATCAAGGTCAGGATAAATTCATTACTGTCAGGAAAAATTACTTTGAAAGAAATATAAATATTGACCAGAAAATTTAAATCTTGTGCTTTATTACCGTTCCCGATAGTTTTGGTCACAGAAGTGATTTATAAAATTTTCTTTTTATTGCATCTTTAATGTATTTCATGTTTCATTACTGAATCAGATTCAGATCTAAGATTAGAAAAAGAGACTACGTCGTCAAATTTTTGACTAAACAAGTTTACCGATAGAAGTTGCCTGAGGATTAATAATAAAATTGTATAATAAACATATATAAATGTATATTTTGCACAATATTCCAGTTAAATTGCTAAATCAAAATTAATAATTTCTGATGCTATTATTTTATACAACACTGTAACACTTATCCATGATATAGTAACACTTATAATTCACCTTGATTTCTTATTAATATTGTTATAATAAAATGTTAGAATAATCCAATGATTTAAGGGCCTCATTTTTAACATGCCTCCCGCTCGAAATAGTTATAGATTCTCATTTATGAAAGAATATATCACCTGCATATATTCATACAAGTTTCGAGTTTTTTGGGCTTTGTAAACCATGATGCACAAAACTAAATTTTTACGAATGTTGTCATGTGTTAGTTCACGTCTTTATGTAACATGGATATCAAAAACAAATGCTTTATTATAACTCTAAAACAACAATAACTATCACAAATGAAGGCATAAGGAAAATACCGGGCTACTAGTAACGAGTCGATAAAACGGCTGAGCGTGGGTCGCTTTGCCTTGTATAGTCCGCCACTAAGGCATCCTTGCTCTATGCAGATATTTAGCTTTCCTGAAATGAATCCAAAAATTTTAATCTAGTAAGAGAGCTTCTTGGAAGCAATATTTACTTTCTTGTGTTATTTCTAGTCTTAATGAGGATTATTTTTTCGTTTCAGAGGAACGCATAAAGCTGACTTATGTTGAACCTATTACAAAACCTCGAAATCGTCGACCGGATGGTAAGCAGAATTCTTGAAAGAATTATAAATTTAGTTTCTATAGAATAAATATGGCATAATAGTTTTAAATTACATTGGATCCGTTATATTTCTTAAAACATTTAGAGATCACTAGCAGTTTTATTCTCTATTAATTGAGAAAGTATAACAATAAATTTTCAAATACTACTATAAAGAAAATTTTATCAATACCCTCATTTGTAGATTTTTCATTTCGATTAGTTCAAAAGGAGTAAAAATTAAAGATTAATAAATTAAATTTAGCTTCATTCCAAAATCCCTAATTATTGTAATAATTTCAGGATATGTTACTGAATTAATTCTGAATGTCTGTTTGGATTAATAATCTAAGTAAACCTTCAAATTCTCTTTTTAAAAAATGTTTTCTCTTTCAAACAAAAGTTCTTTGTGTTTTCAGTAAACGGATTTCTTGTCGTCGCAAATCAAAATTATTGCCATTTGAGGGAAATGTTTGTTGCAAATACCTTGCACGGGAGATTCTGTGAAATAAATCTTGAATAAAGTAGCCTCTGCTTTATTAAACAGGGATATAGATCTCCACATAGCACTGATAAATATGCTCTATAGCTGTAATTTCTGCAAGAATATTCTTAAACCACTTGGCCAATTGCAATTATGTAGCTTAAAACATACTAAGCTGAAATTTAATATCAAAATCAGATTGCAATGCTTTAATCTTATGATATTTATATTTTTTTAATTTTGTTTTTAACATTTTTAAACTTTAATAGTAAACTTTTCGATTTGATAGAACGTAATATCAAGTTTTTATATTGTAATCTCTTTATAAACTGTTTGCTTAACGATTCTTGACATGGCGTTTGATTTAGTCCAGAATTTAATTTTACAAAATTAGTTTTATTTAGTTTTAATTCAAAAATAGCGAATATATTAGAATCTCCCAACTGAATATAGGATTGAATTTTACAGTTGTCAGATTTAATGATGCAGGAAATCAAAATGTCGTGTTATTGCATGAGTCAAGTGTAAAGAATATTGCTGGCAGATTTCTAGAAAGAAGTCTAATTATTAAAGAGAGAAAACGTGAAAACATAAAATAGTTTTACCTTATTTATATATTGTTATTTCCACCCAGACAGTATAGTGTTTAGAGAAGCCCAGAGCCAGATTTAGACTTGATATGCTATTTGAGTTATGAGGCCCTTTATAATTCTGTTGTAATATATTTTAATACTATTTATACTATAATTTATTTTTTAGGCGGAAGCTATAGCTTGTGTAGCTTATACGTAAATCCGGCTCTGGGGAAGCCGACTGCGATACCGAAAGCCCCGGGTTTGAACCCCGAAGAAAGCATAGATGTAAACTATATGTCCCTTCATAGGAGGTAACAGTGGCCATCCATTAGGTGACTCCATAATAAAATGAACACCACTTCTGGCGTTAGTAGTGGCGAAAGCCTGAAAATAGCTAGTGCCAGTCATAATGAAAGTTTCTACATTCATTTTCTTTTGTTTGATTTTTGGAGGAAGTGGGCATCATAGGTCTAAGAGATCCAAAAAATAGTACCTCAGATGAATGAAATTATTAAAAAGAATCAGGCCGTCCAGACGGTATAGTGGTTAAGGGAGCCTGACTGCGATACCTAAAAGCCTTGGTTCGAACCTCTGAGAAGGCATGGATGTAAAATTGTCTGTCCTTTCATATAAAGTAACAGAGATCGTCTATTAGGTGCCTCCACAATAAAATGGCCACCACTTCTGCCCTTAGGAGTGGCCAATGCCATTATAGACAAGTGCCCGCCATTGGAAAAAAATCAGGAACTGATAGCTATATTCAAGTTCCTGTGCGCTGAAAGTAAACAATATACGAAAATCCAGAAAACCTAGAAGAATCATGACTGGCAATCAAACATAAGAGCTCAGAATTGTTGAAAATAGAGTGTCTGTGGTGTCGCGAGACAATGGCTCTACATAGTCAAATTACCTTTTCTCTAAACTAATGAGTGATGTCTCAAACTGTTCTGTTGGAAGTTACTGATATCCCTTTAGCATTGACATAAAATACTTGCAAAACTTAAAATAACCTACGATGTGGCTTCTTTATACTGCTGTCTAGAATAAAACAAAACCAGCTAAGAAAATCTTATTTTGCGTCCGTCAATCCTCTTAAGACAGAGATTTAGAAATGTTTATGTTCACAAACAGAATTAGAACTGATTCCATGCACAAAAATATTTACTTTTCCAATGGAACCAATGTTTGATTAGCTACCGCGAATATTTTTAAAAGCTTGATATTACAAAGGGTTGATAAAATTCTATATTTATTTCAGTGCAATTTATATCTTAGGTACTAAACTAAATAATTTTATGTAAAATAGTCAGTGAGTTTTGAGTGAGTCAGTGAATATTTTATTAAAATAGTCAGTGAGTTTTGAGTGAGTCAGTGAATATTTTATTAAAATAGTCAGTGAGTTGAGTTACGAAGTAATGCGTGTGTAGTAACAGCTTTAAGAAATTTTGGATAGTACCGTAATAAATAATGCTTCAGCAGCAAACATCCAATTAAAAAAAAATATTGCAAAATCTGTTTCAAGGTAATCTGTAAGATCTGTTTTAATCTGTAAGGTAAGAAGTATTAAAAGATTAAGAATAGTAAAAACGTGAAACGTGATTTAAATTCTTACAACTATAAAAATTTGAGTCCAAAGAAAGGTTAAAATACCCTTTTATTTCACTCAAAGAAAGGCTAACAGTCGGCCACTCTCAGGCTTACAGGAAAGCCTCCATTTGGGCTTTAGATAAAAAAATAAGAAACTAAGTTAATTCTAACTAGTTAAACTTTAAGCGAAGCTGCATAAACTTTAGATAGAAAATAAGAAACTAATTCTAACTAGCTAAACTTTAGCCGAAGCTGCATAAACTTTAGATAGAAAATAAGAAACTAAGTTAATTCTAACTAGCCAAACTTTAGCCGAAGCTGCATAAACTTTAGATAGAAAATAAGAAAATAAGTTAATTCTAACTAGTTAAACTTTAGCCGAAGCTGCATAAACTTTAGATAGAAAATAAGAAACTAAATTAATTCTAACTAGCTAAACTTTAGCCATAACTGCATAAACTAACCCGTAATTAAACCTCACAGGCGTGATATTATATTAACAGGTGTGATAGATTACGGCCGTACGTAGTAAGATAGGCTTAAAGCAACGACGTGGCCCGAAGGCAAAACGCGCTCTACTGAGAAAGTCTGAGCTCTTCTACGGAAGTGACTGAATTTCGCATTAGATAACAGTTCTACGTCATTTACATAAAATGCGATACTGAGATCTCATTCTGGCAGAGAGTTGTAGATGGAAAACAAGAATTTAAAGGAAAGGGTTTCAAAATTAAAAATAACTATTAGAAAATGAAAATAATCCCTACAAACTCTGCCTCTGAATCATTTGGAAAATTTTTAAGGCCCGCGTTTTGGAGGGAAACATAATATTTCATCTCTAAAGCAATTTGTTGGGAATAGCTGAAATAGAGCGCTGATGGGAGTGGGAGATGTAGATAATAATATTTTCCAATAATATCGCAAAGAAAGAAAGGGGACAGAGCTTGCTTGGTAACAAGAATATTAAATTTTAAGAAATTAGCGTATTTCCTCGTGCGTCCTGTCATGGTATGACTGGTATAAAGCCCAGCTAGCGATCACAAGTTTTGTATTTCGGAGTCCAGTGATAGTTGTTTTTTCGTACTTCCTGCTCCGGAAAAGAATATAATATCTCCATAACTCACCTTAAGTAATTTTACTGATTCTACGAAGCTTCAAAACAGCAAGAGGTCATTGTATTCACTTTTAATACTTTTACGTTTTCTATTTTATTAAGTATAATAAATTTAGTTTTATGCTGCGTATTATCCTAGATACTTTTGACCTGCATTAACAGGCTGTTTGTATGTAAAACATCAGATTTTTTATTAGTCCAAAGGGGTTTTGTCCCTGAAAGACTATTATTTTCGTTTTGCGATGGTTCACTATAAATGTCCGTTTCACTTTTCAAACTGTTGCCACCAAATGTTAGCCCTGCATTGTATTTGAAGAAATTAAATAATGAAAAATCTGCATAAATGCATATATTTCTCGCACTGTAATAAAACAGCGGTACCTAGAGCCATCGAGTTTTGAATGACGTATTCCTACTGCGAAAACGGGCATCTGAAAGTCCAAATTTAAAATTTGGAATTTGTTTTATAATCGATTTCATATTTTGTAAAACTTTAACGAATTTTTGATTAACAATTTCAAGGACTTCAAAACAATCAATGGCATTTTTGTACAGAAAAACATTTTTATTTCCAACGCGCGAGACTCTGTATCGGAAATTCTAAAGGATATGCTCAATTTAAAACTATTTTGAGATATTACTGTTGAACTGAATTTTAAGTGCGAAGAACTTGATATTTAATAAATAAAGGTAACAGAAAAAAATGTTGAATAAACGCCCCTTTGGATATAATTTAAAATCTGAAACCTTTCACATTTTTCTTTAGCGTATAATTGTTCATTTTGCTAGTATTTCATTTAGAAGTATCTATGATTCTCATTATGAAATTTTACAGAAAAAACATATACCGAGACTTTTACACCAACTACTGTTAGCTTGTACAGAGTCAACGTGACAGGTAAATATTCTTTTTTTTTTTATCTTTATACCTAAATTATTATTACCGAATGTTACTGCATTTTAATTTTTATCCTTTGTAAACAGTTTAGCATTAGAGGTATTTGGTTTTACTCAGGAAAACTATAATGTATATTAAATATTATTATTTTCTGGTTATTATAAATAAATAATTTTTTTATTTGGTGAGAGCATCGAAATCATTTTAGTGAATAATGTTTACATGCAAGTACAAAAAAACATTTCTTGTTGGTAATATATAGATATATGTCCTCGGTGTTTTGCGTTTTTTTACCTGGAATATAAGTGATGAAATATTACTTCAAAATCCATATGGATGGAAGTGCCAAATCGGAGCTAAAACAATTAAAACAAATGTCGAAAATAGACTATTTTGATTTTTCTTTGAGAGGCTTTATTTATTCAGTTTTTACGGGCGGCGGGTTTGCTAAGAAAGCACAAATTTCCTAAATCTACTATGAAAAAACATTATATTCTTAATTTTTTTAATGTTAAAATTCTCCTGGTATTTTATACCTGGCTTTGTGTACTTTCAATATACTGGCTTAATTTTTTGACACATTTTAATATGCACGTATATATACTTTCTTATAAATATCACAAAAAATATTCCAGGCCGTATAAGTTTCAGATTTCAAAGAGGTTAAATCTTACACATGTCTTAATATCTTACATAGATTTAATCTTCCTTTTCCCAGAAAATTTTAAAATGTACAATTTGATGTCCAGTTAGTGTTTTTTTTATTTATATATATTTTTTTTTAATTTTAGAAACTGTTTATACTGACATTAAAACACCTACAACCGTGAATGTTACCGCCGAGGAAATAACAAGTAAGTACGAATTTAATTCATTTATTTTTCATAGACATTTATATAAATAAGCCACTTAAGGAAAACATCCACTGCCATTCGACAAACGACTGACAAAAACGCAGCTCAAGGTGTTAGCCATATGGGTTTTATGGCTAATTCGGCGGATAGTATTTCGATACTGGTGGATAATATTTAAATTGTGGTGGATAATATTTAAATTGTGGTGGATAATATTTAAATTATGGTGGGTAATATTCAGTCACGTGAAACTATCACAAAAAATAATAAGATTCAATACGTACACTACCAAAATGAATATTGTTATGATAACAGCACGGCAGTTATCATAACAATATTCATTTTGGTTCGCATTCTGGCAGCAGCTGCTAGTGTAACGATTGTAATTTTTTATGTGAATCTATTCTTACGTGGTCAATAATATTAATTATTTCGCTGTAAATCTATTTTTCACTAAGCCTTAAAATAAGAAGTCTCTCAAAATAATATCAAATCTTATTGTACAGCATGGCGTATGTTACGTTTGATAATTAACTGTCTGAAATTAATCGTTTAACACAATTCGCTGATTTTGGATTGGTGCTGCATGTTGTTGAAAGAGAATCCCAAACCTAGCATATTTCACTTCCATTTGCTCGATTTAAGGCACCAAAAAGGTCTATAGTATTTCATATTTTTCCTTCATAATTTTTAATTCAACTTTTTTGTTTCGTTTAATTATGTGTACCCACATATGCATATCCATATGAAAAGGGAAATACATATTTTACATTAAATTTGAAACTTATTCCTCACCGTCTGACTAATATGTTTTCTCTGTATCTTTTATATATTAAAAAAACCAAATCAAAAATGTGTTCTTATATTTTAGCTACTGAAATTGAAGAGACTAGAACAGTCCCGACGACAACAGAGATTGTTATAACACCATCAAGTAAGTATATTTTTTTTTCTAGAAAACTATATATTAGTTGCGATGAAATTTGAAATTTAGATGAAATTGTGTTATTAGCCCAAACGGCGTTAGCACAGAAAGGCTATTAATTGCGTTTGTGGCGTTTCACTATAAACAGCGTTTCATTTTTCAAATTGTTGCCATCAAACAGTAGAGCCCTGCATTATATTAAAAAAAATAAATTATGAATAATCTGCATGAATGTATGTGTGTTCTCGCACTGTGAAAAAACAACGGTACCTAGAGCCATCAAATTTTGAATAACGTACGTCTCCATACAATTATGGGAATCAAAAATCGCAAATTTGGAATTTGTTTTATTATCTATTTCATATTTTGTAAAGCATTTATGAGTTTTCAGTTAATTCTATGATTTCAAAGCGAGCAATCGCAAACTTAACAAAAAAAAAATTATCTCCAGCGCGCCAGACTGTGTATCGGAAATTCTAAAGATATGCTCTTTTTAAATCATTTTGTGATATTGCTGTTGAATTGAATTTTATGGTTTAAGTGCGAAGAGCATGATATTTAATAAATAAAGGTAACACGGAAAATGTTAAAAAATGTCCCTTTTGGTGTAACACAAAATCTGAAACTTTCATAATTCTTTTAAAATTAAAAACCGTTTTTGATTTATGTGTCTTTTATCAAATACATTCTGTGTAAAATTATGTAAAATATAAATTTACAATTTTTAAATCAACTCCATTATGGCGTAGAGACATTAGGCATTTTTTGGAGGCAGGCAAGATGAAAAATTAGCAAACGCCGTCGCCTAGAATCGAACCACGGTCCTCTGGAATACCGGCTCAGCGTGCAGAACCACCACCAAGGCACGCTAGGAAAATGAGAGAAATACCTTATAATGGCGTTCGTTGTTTTCTCTTTCTTCGTGTTGTTCTAGAATTGAAAATTAATACTTCTAATTTCTTTTTCAGTAGGAATTTCTGTAAATTTTTGTAGCTATTCGGGTTTCTTGTTCGAAAATTTAATTAATTATTTTAGAGGATAGTATCTGATTTATTCTTGTTTCTTACTCAAAAATTGCTTTTATTATCTTTTTTAAATATTTATAATTTTATCGTGGGGTCACATCGAAGCAGGTTATACCTTCATAATTAATTAAATAAAAAATTTATTTTGTTGCACTTTTAAAACACTTTAATTTCAACTAAAGTATTGCCTTCTAATTATTTAACTAATTTATTCAACAGTATATTACTTGCCTTTCTCTCTTATTATTATTAATTTCTTTTTATTTATTATGAGTTTTTTTAATCCTTTTGAAATGTTTCCATTAATAAAAATCATTTAGATAGAATTTAGAAACGTGGCTCTGTTGAAAATTCTTCGGTTTCTCCTTGTTTAAGTTTAAGGAACTTTTAACATATTTTTATGTTTTTATCAGTTTTGTTAATTTTACTGAATTGTTTTAGTTCCAGTTTTGAAAATGTTTATGTCTTTTTTTTTAATTTTCATATGTGTATTTTCAATTACAGGACTGCCCACCTTTCAGAGTCTAATTTTGATTTAATGATTATCTCTTGATTTTATTTTTTATGTTTATATATATACACACACTGGCCAATGAATTCGAAACCCAAGATCAATATTTTATTGGACCACCTTTTACACGGATAAATGCTTTGATATGTTTGGGCATCGATTCTACATGCTTCTGGAGTACTGTTACGCTCAGAGAATACCATGCATTGGCTATGAAGCTTTTTAGATCTTGTAGTAAATTAGATAGAAGGGGAGAGTGCTGTCGGGTGCGCCTTTCCATCAGATCCCACACATTTTCTATGGTCTTAGGATTTGGGCTATGCGGTGGCGAGTGAAGGTGTTGGAAGTCAGACTGATGTTCAGTGAACCAATTTTGAACACTTCTGACACGATGCATAATTGCATTATCGTCCATGAAGTATCCTTCAGGGCAAAAATGCAACATTACACTTGATCTGCGTGGTACCCTGGTGCGAAGAACACCAAGGTACCATTTCCATGCCAACAGAACAAACCCCATACCGTGATACTTCCACCAGACCCTTGAGCAGGCAAGATGGATTCATGGCTTCATGGGGTTCTCCCCAAATTCTACGTTTTCCATCAGTGCAAAATAAGGTGTAGCGGGATTCACCCGATCACACTGCCCGTTTCCAATCCTCAGATGTCCAGTGTCTTCTTTCCCGACACCACAGCAAATGGATTCTTGCATGTGGGGCAGAAATGAGTGGTTTTCTCATAGGCCTGTGCATCCCTATCCTCTGCAATTCTCTGCGCATGGTTTGATCTGAAATCGGTTGGGAAGAGCCTTGGTTGACAATCTGTGCCAGGTGAAATACTGTAGAGTCCCTGTTCTGCCGTAAAATTCGTCGGAGACGACGCCGACCACTCTCTTGAAAAACTGTGCTCAAAACCGCAGTTGCATCTCTAAAGGGGGGGGCGTGTGGGTTCTGATTCCAACCTTTTGAAAACCTTTGATATGGCTGCTTTTGAGAACCCAGCGAGATTTGCTGTCTTCGAAATCGAGACCCCTGCTAAAGGTGTACCAAAAATAAGCGCTTTTTCAAATATTGAAAGATCTGTCGTTTTTCCTATTTTACTCCATTCATTGTGAAAAGCACTCTTACACCTACTTTATAATAACATTCTAACCACGTAAAAGAAATTGCATACTTCATCCCTAGCACACATTCAAATGAAAATTTCAAAGGTTTCTAATTCATTGGCCAGTACATATATGTGTGTGTGTGTGTGTGTGTGTAATATATAACAAAATATGATAGCTGTTTCATAAAACTTAAATGGCGACCTCAAAATTAACATTCTAAATTTGTGATCTGCCCCTAAATTCATCTCTTCTCACATAACAAAATATGATAGCTGTTTGAAAAAACATAATTGGCGACCTCAAAATTAGCATTCTAAATTTGTAATCTGCCCCTAAATTCATCTCCTCTCACAGGTTCCAGATTTTTCTATCTTACGCAACGTTTTAATGCAGATACCTCTTCTCCAATCAAATTAATTGTAAACCAAAACTCTGAACTGAAACTTTTCCGACTCCCACCCTTCTTCCTCTGAAGTTCTATGATACTTTTCTCCTTTTCCACATAGCTCTCCTGCTGGCTAGAAGCTTTTAAACCATGCTGCTGCTGCTTACTTACTTAAGATGACGTTTTATTTCAAAATGCAACTTACTGTATTCACATACAATTAGAAAACATCCTTTCTGCAAAAGAGCGATTTGATATGCGGGGAAAAAATAAGGATTGTGATTTTTCAAGATACGTTGAGCTAAATTGCGTCATCATGCTTTACACTTGTCTTCTCGGTCATCTACGCAGTATCGTAAGCTGTTAAAATTCCACTGTTTGCTTCTACACATTTAGAATCATTACATATATATGCTGTAAGGTTTATCCTAAGTTGGAACAGTTGTTGTCGCGCCAGTTGGACAGAATTTGGCACGATATCCCTCAGGAGGACATCCGCAATCTCTACCAATCGATGCCAAGCTGAATAACTGCTTGCACAAGGGCCAGAGGTGGACAAACGCGTTACTGACTTTTTCACTTTGTGAAGTTCTATCACTTCAATAAATTATCCAATTTTTCTCAAATTGTAATCATTTCTTTTTCTGTACATGTACATCACTTCTACCGATTTTCGTTCCATCCGGATAACTCCTTCTTGGTGCGTCATTGTTTTTTTTTTTTTTTTTTTTTTTTTTATTTTTTATTCTTTTTTTTATTATTATTATTATTATTAGTGTATATATATGCATCAACAGCCACTAAAAAATTTTGAGTGGATGTTCTGTAGTAACTCATTACCTGTTAATAATCTTCGTACTTTAATGAGGGGATGTGTACAATTTTTGAGCTTTTTTTCCCTTAAAGTATGAAGTTATGAGGAAAAAATTCGAATTTACTAGAAGTATCACTATAAAACTGAATTTCCTGATGTTGAAATGTCCAATGTTTTCTCACATTTGCGTAGAACTAAATCTAACGTTTATTTTATGTTACCCTTAAAACGTTGTTTCTATTTAAATGGCATGTGTAATGGTGCAAAATATTTGTAATATTTGAAAATCTTCAAAGCAATAAGATGGTGGTAATACAGTGTATATAATGTCCCATTGCTGTAGTTTACATTTTCAGATTCTTTTCTAGAGCCATAAGTTGCAACCTTTTACAATGTTAGCTATATTTCTGTTGTATATTTTTTTCCTCATTTTAATTTTTATGCTCTTTGCAGAAAAGGTAACATGTGAAACTATGACGCCTACTGTAACAAGATCACAAACAGTTACACTTCCAAGTGAGTCTTATGCTATTATTATTAAAACTATTTAAAACTATGTGTTATTTATTTCAAGTCTAGCATAATGATGCGCAGAATAGGAAGATAGATGTCCTCTATTCAAAATTCAAATATGACATTCAACAGAGAACAGCAACAAAGGCAATATTCTTCAAATTGAAGAATATCCATTTTATGATGGCGATGATCTTTCTCTTTCGGGTAGACGTCTATTGTGCAAATATTAAATATAGCAGTTTATGCAATGCACACATGAAAATTCCATTATACATTTTAAATTACATGGTATATTGTTTCAGAACAAATAAACATCTGTGCAATAGTCAGTATTATTACATTGGCATTTTTTATTATACTTTGGTTTATAATGCAAACGCACATTTGATAGCATGTAATATGAATGATTTAAAAAAAATCTTAGTCTTGTAAAAGCAGTTTTAGTAGAAATCGTGTTTCACTAGGAAAATATTTAAATAAAACGGTATACATCTGAGAATTTATAAACAGAAAGGAAACTTTTATGTTCTTACAAAAACTAACTCCTAAATTTAAGCTCTCAATTTTTCCGAAACGTGTACACAAAGGAAATGACGAATAGGAGCTGGTTCCTGTGCTATGACGTCAAGGAAAGCTGAAACACCTGTAGCCTGGCTGAGAATCTGCGGCTTTCCTGGCATAATTAAGTGCTGCAAATACATCAAATTTCTTCACCTAGGGAAGATAATATGGCTGCAGAATCCTTATTAATGAAGCAGACAAAATTTGAGCTTTGATGAGCGGGTAGCCATTAAGAGCATTCTGCTCTTCTGTGACCTTCTCGGATCTCTCGACTGAAAATTGTCATGACACTCAATACATCTCAGATAACGTGAGCAACAAATATGAGATACGATAATCCATAATCTCTGTAGGATGCAATTCCTTCGTAGTCGAGTTTAGGAGTACTACAGAAGTCGTTCGCCGTATTTTTAGACGACCATGCTTTGTTATAAAAAAATTGCCTGCTTGGATTTTAACTGAAGCTATATTTTTGAAAGTATAAGTTATTCATCTGCTACTTGACAGTTTTATTTGTAAGCAAAATGGCGCTTTTAAAGAAGCAATGGAGGGAAGGCTGTGTTTGTATTCTCTCCGAAGAAAATTATTCGTATTTAGTTATTAAACCACGCTGTGAAAGCCATGATTTTTCGGTACTAAAGGCAACTACAGATAATATTGTCCCTAAGAAAGGGAAAAGACATCAGATTTTGACTTCAAGGCGAAAAATTGTTCAAATTGCATTTCCAAGGAAAACGCGGAATGTTAAGGATAATTGCATAGGTAAGAACTTTAATGTTAAAAGGAACTCCGTGAAGTCAAAGGACTGTTGCATAATCATTGAAATGTTCAGTTTCAAGTGTAGACAAAGTGATTAAAATCATCTGAATCTTAAAAAGACGAGAAAACGTACTGTGTCTTTTTCCACGATATGTCGCCGAAAGCAGAATGCGCTGCAGAATTCTTTATGAGAAAGAATTATTCAAACATAAATGAAAAAATATTATCATAAAAGGTACATTTTTCAGGTACATGAATTATTCGAAAATATTTGCGCGATTTCCTTTGGTGTTATCCTTGGTTATATCTATTCTTTACCAAGTGTTTATAACTGAAAATTAGAGAATTCTATGTAATTTTTCATTCTATTTTATTCGTATGCATTTTGCCTCACATGCGGTATTGAAAACTGTTAATGAAAAAACTTTACTTTTCTGCTATAAAAGAATTTAGCTGATTAAAAGCAATGCAAATCATTTATCTTAATCTTTTAAACGAATTTATTTTATATCGTGTTTTTCCAAATTGAAGAAGCTTGTTTTGTATAATTCCAGGCATTTTTATCATCACGGTTAATATTACATATAAACTTCGTCTGCTGAAACTGAAGACATTTTTTGCTATTATTCAAAACAACAACTGCACAATAAAATTATTATACCTTATTTTATTACATATATATATATATATATATATATATACTATATAGATGTTGAAGATTTTTGAATATATGTACTGTAATTACTCATTAACTACTAACAGGCTTTGTACTTTAGTAAAGACCGGGACAATTTTGGAGCTCTTTCTTTCTTAAAATACTGCCGTCATTTCTGTATTTATCAAATTTGATTTGTCCCTGGTTGAAGGTTTTGCAAAAACATTTTATTATCGATTATAAAATAGCTGCTATACTTTATTCGAATCCTGGAAAAGATCACAGACCTTCCCAAAAAATGCTTTATTTAAAAAATGATACGCTCAGAATATGATTAATATTCGAATGATAACTGTGTTTCAGATGTCCTGTATCTAAAACATGTCGGACATCTATTATTCCATTATTTCTACTCGAAAAGAAATTATTGTATTTATCATTCCGTAGCTTTGAAGAAATCAACAGAGATTAACATACTATTCGTTCAAACGATCATATTCTCCTAACCTTGAAAATGCAATGATATCAGTGGTATTAGCAATGCCTCCTTTGTGCAGGATTTACCAACATTTTCTCTGCCAAGCGAAAGCAAAAGCCTGTCTGACATTATTGAAAAAAAATTTTGAATAATTTTGAATAAGAAATCTGGAAGGAGTTGAACCAAAAAAAAAAGTGGAAAAACAATCTATGGTGGTTAAACTAGACACTTTGAAAATATGTTTTTAAACTGTCGAACTTTTTTCATTTTTTAATCTAGTTAACCTACATATTTAAACATCTATATATTTATGTCAAATTTTAATCATTAACATACTTTGTTTCCAAATTTTAATTTTAGATTAATCAGAAAGATTTTGATTTCAGATTCCATTTTGTTGAAATAAGGTTGATTTTAGGAAGAAGAAATAAAGCGATTTTCAATTTTCAGCCTGAGATTTTCTTCAGATTAAATTCTAAAACAGAGTATACTTTAATGATTTCCTCCATAAAAAAATTATCTAGAAAAAAGTAAAGTGTTTGCAAATGTTTAACAAATAAAAAATATTTAAAGATGCTCTTTTTAAATGTTATCTAATTTACATTCCATACATAATATTTAATATATATTTTACTTTAATTTAAAAATTTTGCTTTTTATTTAACGTTAAAGAACTTCATACTGATTAGAAATTTTTGAACAAATATGCTATTAAGACACAATATGCGTATGTTTATTTTTTCTATTAAAATATTTTATAAATGTTATTATTTATTATTTTAGCCAAACCGATTACGTTTACGATGCCTATACAAACATCCACAGAAACTAATACGCCACAAAGTAAGTTTTTATCCTGTCTTCTTGAATTGTACTATAAAATTATGAGTTTAATTCAAAATCGATTTTTTGGTACATAATGCTCTACAGTAGGTTATAATTTCATACATTTGATTTTCCCTTCTATTTTAAATTAAAATTTAAACGTTATGTTATGAGTTTATTAACACTATTAAGCTTTAAAACATCCAGCAACAACAGAAATCAAAGCAAATGTTATATTGTTGCCTTGTAAAATCCGCCTTTTAAAGGTGTAGAGATTAGGTTAATTGGAAGCAGGAAAGATGAAAAATGAGCAACGCCTTCGCCGGAAATCGAACTACGGACCTCTAGAATACGCGCCTAGCGTGCAGACCACCACACCACGAAGGCATGCTAGGAAGGCGGGAGAAATACCTTATATACTCCCTCTTTTAAAGGGCGATTGGGGTTTTTTAGGAGACCCAGTCACCAAATCCTGGGTGTGGAGCATCATCATCCACCACACATTTAGTTCGGGCGCCACTGTAGAAACATTAGGTTAATTGGAAGCAGGAGAGGTGAAAAATGAGCAACGCCTTCGCCGGGAATCGAATCACGGATCTCTGATATACGCGCCCAGCGTGCAGACCGCCACACTACGAAGGCATGCTAAGAAGGCGGGAGAAATACCTTATAAAGGGAGACTAGGGAATAAGGGACCCAGTCGCCAAATCGTGTTAGTGATGAATTATCTTCCACCACCTTTTGGCTCGAGAGGCACTTGTAGAGTCATTAGGCTTTAAGCAGGAGACGTGAAAAATGTGCAAACCTGTCGACTCTAAGCCTGGGCCTGTCGAGTATGCTTCCAATTACACCACGAAGGCCTGCAGAAAGGAAGAAAATATCTTATAATCTGTTTAGCTCTGTCTTAATGTTGATATGAACATTAAAACGATTAAGAGAACACTTGCACGAAACCTGCTTTTATCAACATGAAATAAAAGATATGATTCATGTTTGCTGTTAAATTGCAGCGTATTCTTCCTACAAAACCCTTTTAAGCTTTATTTACGTTGAAACAAATGCAATTTTCTTTAGAATATAAGGCAATTTTTTGTATTTCACTAACATCGAATGTAATAAGGAATTAATGCACTCTGTGTGATTGGAATCAGGTGAAAATAAAAGAACAAGGCCTATATGATTTTCGATAAAAATTGCATGTGAAGGTTTATTAGGTTAAAGGATGTAATTCTCATTATATAACGCAATCGAAAGAGAATTTCCGAATTTTATTTCTTGAGAACTATTTATTTCCCGTTATGTTTTCCCTGTTCAAAGACCACCCTATTCTGTTTATTTGTAAAATTTATTTTACGCAGCAAGACTAATGCTTAATTTTATAATATTTTATCGTAAATATCTCCCTACGATTCCTGAGGACTTTCGGCTTGCCGCGTATTTAGAGTGCCCCATCCTGCGAAGACACTATGTATTTACTGACATCAATGCCTTGTCCGGGATTCGAGCCCAGGCCCTTCGGTACGGCAGTGGAAGTCACTAATCACTCTCCCTGTTGGGCGGCTCACAATTTTTGCACACTTATCTTACGCATTCAAAAAAATCAATAGTATATATCTAATAAAAAGGTTTAGAAATTAGACTAATTTTATAACCAGAAAACGTAAAATTTCATAACTGTGTTGAATATAAATTAGGTTAAATCCTCTCAAAATATTCAGTTAGTCAAAGGAAATCTGGTTAATGCCTAACGCCCTGCAAATTCATGCATAATGCAGGATGATTCTAAAATATCTAACAAAAATGTAAAGGCAGGTTGGGGGAATCTAAATAAGCCAATTTTTTATAATACGATACCTGGATGAAAATAGCCCTGTAGGAGCTGGCACGTAAGGAAGGTATAAACAACAAGTATGGAAGACAGGTAACGTCGAAAGATGGGAACATTTTAATGATCCAGCCTTTTGTAATAGGTGATCAACTGTTAGACCACCAACAGTAATTTAAGTTTCCCATCGGCAACTCATGGACTTGGCAGACATTAGCAAAGATCCCAGGCATTTCAAGCATATAATCTGCAGTAACTGATAGTCTTGGGGGGGGTTGGGTCCCTACTGTGAGTGACTCTCAGGTTACCCAATGCTGAGTGGTGCAGGTAGCGTATCTGACTCTTTATAATGATTGGGTAAGGTTGAGAATTGCGTACTCCTACTGCATTTTAAACTTAAACATATTTATTATAATTACGAGAAACTCCTTACAGACATATATATATAATTCATCGATAGCATAGACAGGTATTAAAAATTAATTATAGTCCTGGTAGTGTGAGGAGTCTGCTAACGAAGTTCTCTCTAGTGGAGAGCTCAAGAGCATCGTATGTATCTCTAGTCGAGAGTTCAGGAGCATTCTTCTGATGTTACTCCGACGACGAAAATCTTCAGACTTAATTAGCCAAGCCTCCTTAATTTTACATCCTCTAATTCGTTATGTCTGGAATGATATCAGACTTAATATCAGATCATTGGTTCATCACCCCTCCTGAAATCGAGGACGACAGACACGGTGCAGAACGTTAAAAATCTCTTGACACTAGTCATGAAGTTATATCTCTGCGATATCAAAACCATGTCGTGTGACACATCGTAAAGGCTGGGAGTAGTGAATTGCAGGGACCGCACGCACGATTTACTTATCTCTCTGTGGTCCGCCGAATTCTCAAGAAGCTTCTAGGTAATTTTTAACGTATAGATTCCGTATAATTTCCGGTTAATGCATTCGACGTCAAATTATTCATCAGCTGTCTACTCAGGAATAGTTTTATGATCATCCTTTGAGCAGTTTCCCCATCTCCGTCCGTAGCTCCTTAGATACAGTACAAAACCTAAGACTCCGCATTCGTGTAGCGATGCACAAGTTAGAAATCTGTGCAGAAAATGACTGTTTACGATTTACGCTAACAAATCTACGAAATTTACTGATTTAAAAAATAGCCCTATATTACCGCGACGTGCCAATTCCACAAGAATATTCCCTTGAATCTGCTTATTTCCGTCCCATCCAGCTGGCTTTACATTTTAATGAGATATACTTGAATTACACTGTATATCTAATTATTCAAAAATAACTTGAATTTTTTTAATTCTTTCTTTAATTAATTAATTGAATTGAATTAATTTTTCTTTCAGAGAGAACTTATTCGCAAACATTTACCCCTACATCATCTTTTCCTCACAAATTTACCGTAACGGGTAAGCATATAACTTTTTTGTTATTTATTTTATACTGCACTTGTTATTTTCCTTCTTTTCCTTCACATATTCATAATAAAATAGTGACTCAAATGACTAATTTTGCTTTTTACAGTTGGTTGTTTTCCTAATATATTATTCAATTATGTTTTATCCGAGAATTGTACAACAAGGATAATAATATATGATAAAATTTTGTAAAACACTCACATTGTTTTAGAAATTTTTATTTTAAAATATTGTAAAATGATGAAATTATTTTAAAAATTATTATTATTCTAAAATGAAATTATTTTTAAAATTAATATTTTAGAATATTCTAAAATGATGAGATTATTTTAGAAAATTAAATGATACTTTTCTTAAGTTGTTGATAGACACATGATAGTCATGGGTTAATGATTCTTTCATAATAAAACATTATTGTATACATATTGCATACATTTTGTACGTTTTCGCTCATTACAACGTACGCATAACACATTATGTAACAAATATACACTGAATGCAAGATATTCAAAACATTTTTTATCATTTTAAGATTTCAAAATTAGATATTTTAATGCTAGTGTGTAGTGAATTATGTTACGAGTTTGAATACAATCTTGTTCAAAAACAGATTAAAAGCTGAAGAAATTCCTTGTTACAGAGTCATCTCTGAAAACAATACCTATTAAGAATATTTTAGGCTTATAAGTCATAATTTCAAGACTTACAGGCAGTAAGAAGCATTCTTTCAGTAAATGTTAAGACATAAAGAATGTCTTATTAGCTAATTATATCTCAAGGAATATTTTATTAGCTAATTATATCTCAAGGAATGACTTATTAGCAAATTATATCTCAAGGAATGTCTTATTAGCTAATTATATCTCAAGGAATTCTTGCTAAATCGTATATAGAACAAATTAAATATGTTATTAATAAAAGAAATTAGAAAATATAATTGGTTGCAAGGTAGCATATTCTAGCCACAGTAGGCCTTCTATTATGAATAATTTACACGAGAATGAATAATTTACATTTTTTGTAAGAAAACCATGTTTTGCTATTGATTGCAAATAAGCAATATTTTCCTATTTCTTTCGACAATTTTGTTTTCGTATAACTCTTTCAAAGGAAACCACCTTGCTTTCAGGAAAACCATAAACTGATATTCTGAACATAGCAGATTTTGTTAAAATTTCAATATGTGTTCTACTGTACATAGGTTATCTTAATAAAGTTGTAGGATAATAATAACGGAATTCTTTAAATTTAACGTAGTAGTAAACAGCAGGAGCGAGAAGATAGGGAGATGGGGCTTCATCTTTAGGACAGAAAAATGTAAGAGCAATGTAGAGAGAAATGTGCATTTAAAAGATACACCCAAGAGGACAACGTTTTAGTGGAAGGCAATACTCTAATCAATGTCGCATGATTCAACATTTAAGTTTCAAATGAAGTATAAAAATAAAATTGTAAATAAAACTGTCTGTCGCGAACGATTTACTTCCGATTATATTATTATAAGAGGGGTTGAGCCAGCCAGATGAGCGGGCTACGACAAAAGCAATTTTTATAAGTCTTGTGTACTGAAAAACTGAAACTAAACTAAACTATTAATTTAATGTACTGTATACAAAGATGCTGGCTGCAACCAAAGCAATATTTATCAGTCCTATGTACACCTAAAAAGAAAGTGCATGAAAACATTTCAGTATTAGTGAAGTCAGTTCATGCTTTCCAAACAACAACCGACTCTTAAATAATTTTTCGTTGCCAAACCAGGACACAAAAACTTATTGTTATATTACATTCAATTTAAATCATGACGTCATACATAAACATATGGACACTTCATGTTCATATGTATACATATTACGCCATGATTTAAATTGAATATAATGTACTAGAACGCCCGGCAGTCATACTAAATGACCGCTGTTCTAGATATTATAAATTGTAATTAAAATGATTTGTGCAAATATCTCTGCTAATTTAAACTAAATTACCCAGGGCAGGCGGCGAGGACGCCTCTTTGCTTACTGCTCCACGGGGTTTCCCCTTTCTACTTGCTTTAATTGCTTAAAGTAGAGTGCAATGAAGGAAACCACTCACGGTACATTTCTTAAGAGTCCACCGCTAGATGAATAAATAAAGGTGATTTAAATAATAAAATGCTTAATTTACATGTCAAAGATCTCTTTGTACACAACATTTCTTGTGTAGATCTTTCCATCATTTTAAGCTCGTCTTGCAGAGGACCATCCATTATTTTTAATTTTACGTCCGTTCTTTCACGAACTCTTTTTTTATGTTGCCTGTTTTTTCACGAACAGGCAACATAAAGTTGAGCGTATTCAAATGCAGGCTCAGGTAAAAAAATGGCAACACACTTAAGCGTTTGGCCCTGAGACTTATGGATGGTCATAGCAAAGGCAAGTTTTACAGGAAATTGTCTACGTCTCAATTGAAACGGCAAACCTGTGCCGTGGCAACTTCACCCCATTGGTTAGTAAAGTTACGCAAGCAACCAATAAACTATCAGCGATAAACAGAAACTTAAGCCGCATGTATATATATGAGGTGAAGTAACATCATCTCCTCCAAAAGGGCTGGCTCCCGAGCTTAGCGAAGCACACCGTTGGATTCTGCAGGTCCGTGGCACGCCATTTTGACCATTCGCGTCTTCTTGGGACTTTAATTAGCCGAGATATTAATTAAAAACTAATTTTCCCCTACGTTTTCCCTACATTCTCCACTTTCTTTTTTGGATTTTCCCTATTAGAGGGATTTGGCTATGTGCCATACTATTTTTTCTCGAATATCTACAGAACGGCGCCGAATTGAAATTCGAGAAACGTATCCTCGGATCCCACAAACTTCTTCGAAACCATGAATACCGTTCTCATCTTCGTACGACTTTAATCGACCGAGATATTAATTAAAACTGCGGAAACGTTAATTTCCACGCTCATTTTTCCGAGTGGCTACAATAAACCATTGGCGACACACACTTTAGCTGCTTATAATATATAAAGATAACAATTTTTTCTCAATATTAATAAAAGAATTAACGTGGCAATATCACAGGTTATTTTATGTGCAAGTTATCTTAATCTGAAAAAAAATTGCCATCAGTAGTTATTTCTTTTAAAATGCTGACATTAACGAAAGATTTTCGACATACAATAAAGTCACATGGAATCGCGTGCTTCCTTTAGCGTCAGAACATGACCTTTTATATAATAATAATAATAATAATATATTTAATATTTGGTAATGCTATTTTTATTTCATATTTTGTAAAGCTTATAAATGTTTTGTTACAAACTCCACGGTTTGAAAGACAGCAGTTGCAACACTTTTTGAAATAAAGCAGATGTTTATTTCCAGCGTTGCGAGACCGTTGCCACTCTGGAAAATGAGGACGAAAATTAGAGATTTCAGAGGTTTTAATTAATAACTCGACTAATTAAAGTCGTAAGAAGAGCAGAATAGTCAAAATGGCTTCCCACGATTTTTTGGAATCTGGAGGGTACCTCTTTCGAAACTCAACTCCGAGCACAGATTTATCCGAAGTTCTAATGAACTAGGCAGAAGAAAGAGGAAGAATTTTCAGAAGCCAAGCTCATGTGGAGTCGTGGATCAACTTAAGCTAGATTTTTGCTCACTTCGCGAAAATTTTATCTAGTAAATAGATGAACAAATAATTGCAGAAAAAACCTGGCCTTTAATAATTAGTCAGCGCAAGTACATAAATGGAATCTGTTTTGTGAACTATTTCCAAAAACAGCTATATCACAACTAGTCGAAACGAGTGTTTAAGAGACAGCGTAAATATATTGCTCACCTTTCATACTTCACAAAGATCAGTTCATTTTTATCATTCGTACAGACGGAAGTTTTTATTTGTCTTTTAACTTATTTGTCTAAGCGGTTCTGTTTTTCACAAATTTAATTAACTTAGGCAATTACATTTAGTTACTGCTACATATGTCAATCGTTCTAAACTGTATGAATTGCACATACCATATTAGCAAATAAAATCATGCATAAAACATTATACATAGTAGGTAATATTGACATGAATTCCATATAATTATCCAACATAGTAGGTAACTTATAGACTATCTACCAGCAAGTAATTGGGCACATGTGATAGAAATGAAAAACAAAATTTATTCAAATTCAATAGTTGTAGAGCCTGCGCGAACGGCAGTTACAGCCTCAATCCTCCAGTGCAAGCTTTACACAAGTCCTTGTATGAAATTACACAAGTCCTTGCATTGGAATTTTCTTCCACTCGGCTTTGAGAAGACATGTTAATTCCTTCACCTTTATTGGACGGTTCTTGCACCCTTTAACTAAGAGATCCAACTCGTCCTAGAGGTTCTCGATAGCGTTCAGTGTGGGCTTTGGGAAGATTAATCCATTCGGTTAACACCATTGTCATCATACCAATCTATGGTGGACCTCGTAACATGACAGCTCACGATGTCGTCCTTAAAGTAACATGGGTCAAACCTGTCACAATCTAGGAAGCTCACTGTCAAAATAGTGCAGTAAGTATCGTTGTTCAGTTTAATATGAATTTTTAACCAAGGGTTCATTCATACCAGCAGAAATACCCCAGATCACAATTCCACCTCCGCTGAACTTTACTGTGGGCACAATACATTCTGCAAGAAGGCGTTCTCCAGGCAGTTGCCAGACACAGACCCTGACATCAGAAAAGCAGAGGGTGAATCTTGATTCGTAACTCCAGAAATCTCGTTTCCACTGACTGAATGGTCCACTGTCGGTGTGCTTTTCACTATATCAACCGAGCACCGCAGCTAGACTTTTTGACCAAGACTTATGGGCAATTGCACGCCCAAGATACACAAGCAGATGTACTTCCTTACGGATGGTATTTATCGAAACAACACTTCCGGTTGCCTGCTGAAACGACTGTATTATGTGGGCCATCGGTTGGGTGCGGTACTTCAGAATTTCTCTGGATAGCACCCTTCGATCCCTGTCTCCTAGATTCGCGTGTCTGCGACTCAAAGCACATTATGATAATCGCCACTCAACTTCCACTTCTTAATCGCATTGGCCACTGTCAAATTTGGGTAATTCAGCTCACGAGATATGCATGCTTCTTAAGGATTGAACAAATTTGTGATACCCGACGATTACACTTTTCTCGAAATCAGATAGCTCTACACTTCGTGGCATCTTGAATGCCACTAATGCCAGTGTTTCTTACGCGATATTCAATGGTGGAGGGCCTGACGCATGTCAGGACTACAGATATCGTCTTTAGTTTGGATGTCGAAATACTTATTGGTAGATAGTGTAAATAAAAATAACACATTTTAAGTATGATTTAATTTTTAAAAGACCATACTTACAAAGAAACATTATTTAAATTAAGCACTACAGCTAGTCAACTCTTCAAACATATATGACATTCAATTTGGTATGAACATCACACATAGTAAGTAAATTAAATATATTTCGTAAGGTATGTAACACATTCTATCTTTTAACCGTCTGTATTCTTAACCCTCTGAGCGGCGCAGTATTTTACATCTGTCATGAAGACCGGTATTCAAACTGCATTTGTTAATTGAATTTATATAATTACTTATTTTAGTCTTTTATTTAGTTACTTATTTTAGTCTTTTATTTATTACCTATTTTAGTTACTTTCATAAACTTACATTCATTAAGATGATATTTACATTGTTAAAGAAACTAAGAAAGCTAAATATCTTAAATTATAAGCTACTATATGCCAAGTAACAAAGCTTCTCATGAACGGATAAAGCCGATCATGCCGCTCAGAGGGAGAAAAAAGAACGTTGAAGAGATGCGGTATGAATGCTTAGTACCATTCTGTACTAGCGATATTTCAAGTTACATAGATACAATCAATTTTGTGAACTGTTATCAAAAGCATAAATAACAAAAAATATAAAAAAAGTGTTTCAAAGAAAGTGTAAATTGCTAAACGTGCACATTTCGCACATATCAGTTCATTTTTAATATTTGTTCAAGAGAATGTTTTTTCCCCTTATAACTGATTTTGTGTCTAAGCTGGTTTGTTGTCCAGAAAGTTAACTAACTTGGACAATTTCTGCTATTTACGTCAGACCGTATAAATTGCACAAGTTACATTTTTATAATATGCCAATGTATTTTATTTTCTATGATGAACTTTTGAGTTAAATGAACAATTACCATAACATAGAGGATCTCAACTTGTGGGAAATGTCTTTTCCTCAAGAGTAAATTGCTTGACCTCAGATCGGTAGTTCTAAATTATAACAAAATGCTAATTGCAAAGAACAACTAAGGTGTGGCGCACATAATTGAAAAACGTTCACTTTAGGCATCATGTCAAGAATGGGAAATCAACAGAAATATTTCATTACTTATTAAATGCGGTAATTTTTATAGCAATAAACATGAATATATATATGATTTATATAATTTTTAAGCCTATTAAAATAAAATTTTTAATTTTACTTATTATCTGGAATGCCTTACCGATAATAGTGATGATACATTTGTGGACAGATAGCTTTCTGATATCATTACTATGCAGTATATTCAAATTTTATGTTCAATTTTCAAATAAATGGACCATATGAACTTCGTTTTTTAGAGTTTTTCACTTGAACTGCCATCTGCCCATGCCTATATGAATAAAACTATTGAAAAGGCTGTTTGGGTCAATTTTAATAAAAAAAACTCTTCGATATGAGAACAAATTCATTTTATAATAATAAAAGCAATCTGCTATCTTGGTGGTTCGTTCTTACTAAATATATCTCTGTGAGGAAGAGATGTTACCACTAGGTTCCATTATGTACCTATGTACAAATATTGTGTTGTGTTTTCTTGACATAAATATTTTTGAATAGGAAATGTTTACTTCCCCAGTCAACATCATTGATATCTTTCTATTTTGTAGGTGATAAGTGGAGAAAAACATTCACGCCTCCAGGAACTAAAGTCGAAACTCGTACACCAGAACGTGAGTTTGATTCTTCAATATGTACTACATAATATGATACATGACAGTTTCATTTATTCGAGAAGATAGAAGCACCCTTTACTGGAATTGTAAAATTAAATGGCAAACAAAGAGGACTTTTGCTCTACTAATTACAAAATATTTTCTTGCATAACTGTTCACAGATTAAAAAGTTTTCCCTTTGATTATAAGTTCTCAAAGTGTCCTACGCTAAGTTATCATAATAGTTCAAAATAATATTAGTTCGTGATATTTTTACTTCCTTGTACGAAGTAAAAAGGAAGTATTGTAATCGCGAAAATTTTCAGGCAGCATATTTCAATGAAAATATCCATTTTGACGACTATCGAATGCAATTTAACGATGTTTTTGCTAGACATCTGTACTTAAGGACAGAATAAAAGACTCTTTTCCTCCGAAAAAATTATAAAACTATTTTAAAATGAATTCTAAAGAGAATTTTTCATAGCGTCTGTGAGTACGTACGTACGTATATCGCGTAACTCAAAAACGGAGTAGCCTCAGAACGTTGAAATTTTGTATATAGAACTGCTATAACTTGTAGATGTGCATCTCGTATTTTGGTTGCAATCGGCCGCACGAAGTCATGTGGTGGACACATCAGATTGTTTAATTTTATAATGGTACCTTCATTCTGTATTCATATTTAATGTATATTGCTTTGTATTACAATATGAAAATAAAAAAAAGCATTTTTTATTTTAAAATATATAAATGATACTTATATTTTACACAAAATGATATTTAAGTATTAAATTTAATTATGAATCTTATTATAATCGCATGCTTTAATTTGCATTTCCAAATGGTGTGCGCTTTTATACTGGATGGTGATTTTTTTATTTCCCCCCAAAACTGATATAAGTGATATTTCTTCAGGATTGCTTACAAGTTATAAATCTGAAACAAAGCGCATACACAAGACCACGGGAAAAAAGTGTAATAATTCTGGCTACTTCCGAATTAAGTTTCAGGTCACGATGAAAGACATTTGCAGTTTAATTTATTAATATTACAAATAGTATATTATTTAAGGTGAAGAAGCAATAATGGATTTCGTATAGCAAATCTGAATGCTTATAACCAGAGCTGTCGAGTCGGTAGGGAAATTGACTGACTCCGACTAAGACACCTGGAATTTTAAAGACTCCGACCCCCTCATATATATATATATATATATACAGGGTGCGGCAGCGTTCATAGCGTAATTTGACTTGCGTAGTACAATGACGTACTGCATGAATGCGCGCCAGCTCTTGCCGCATTCGTGTACTAATGAGCTGCCATTCCGAGTGTGACAGTGATATGGATCGGTGGAGTGCACAGCATCGTGCCTTTGCTGTTAAAAGTTATTTCAAGAATAACTACTCTGTTATTGCTGTCCAGCGTCTATTTCGGCAACATTTCGACTTGGGACGTCATGGGAAAGTTCCAGATGGACGGACCTTTGCGACAGACATTTCCAGGTAGAGTAATTTCCCGTTTTGGTGACGTTTCCTGGCACCCTCGCTCATCAGATCTTTCATGTGCAGACCTATTCCTTTGGGGCCACCTGAAGAAGAAGGTTTCCGAACACGTTGTGCCACCATTCCTGAGCTGAAGGATCTCATCAGAACTGTCGTCGTCAATGTCCCAGGGAATACGATACGCCGAGTTATGGCAAGCTTCCAATGCCACCTAGATGAATGTGTTCTGCATCATTTGACAGGCATCATATTCAAAAGGTAATGCACGCAATGGACAGTGACTCTTTAATAAATGACTCTTAAATACTCTTTAATAAATGGCATACCTTTAACTATTAATTGACATAAGAGGTAATACATAAATTACAGTTACTGCCTCACGGTGTGTTTTTAATATCCTACTATGAACGCTGGCGCACCCTGTATAAACATATACAAATGGGTTACAGCTTATTTTTTTAAATATAAAAGAAATAATAGATGCTACTGAAAACAAATGATGGCATAGCATATTATTTATATTAATTAGCATTTATTATGAAATGGAAATTCTGCTATTAGTAATTTTTAAGAAACAGTATAGCTCCGGGAAGATCTTCTTTCATAAATAACCGTAGATCCGATTTGATAAACTTCAGAGCTGAGGATAGTCTTTTCACACTAACTTCAATGGGAGGGAGAGCTTTTACTGTTAGGGCTACTTCTTTTAACTTATCAGGATATATTTGTATATAAAATCTAAAAGAGGTGTCTTGCAAGAGCAATCATGTTTCTCTATTTCTTCAAGGGCTGTGTAGAAGTCTTGTTTGCATTTTTTTCATATTTATATCTAAATGCTCTTGGTCTTTGCTTTGCCTTAGCCTTTTCAACTTTATCCAAATATATCTCAAAATCTAATTTATCAATGGAAGAGGATGATAGAGACTCAGCTACAATGTCTCTAGTCTGTCTTGATTTGAATAGTCCAGATGTTCTGCGAATAGTTTCATTCTTAGTGAAAGTTCATAAATGGCTTTCTCTGTCTTTTTAATTTATTCCTCATTGGACAAAATTCGGTGTTTTGGATATGAATATATTGAACTCAACAAGATCTCATTATCTAGCAAACTAGTTTCTCTTTTCTTCATTAAGGAAATGATTCCTTCTGCAATAAGCTGTCTCATTTTAGAAAGAACAAACCTCCTGTTAATTATCCAGAATGTAGCTTTTTTGTGGCTATACACGGTGTAGAAAGAAGAGTTTCCAATTTTGCAAGATCATTCCACAGTCTTTTTGTTAGTGACAAAAGTTAGATTAGGGTTATCTACATCTTCTAAAAATTATTCTTAATTCTAACAACATCTTTATCATCAAATATGTACTTTCCAATCGCGTTGCTTTATCAATAATTGCTTCTTTTCCTGCTCGTCTCCTAAGAATAGTATCACTTTTGGGAATCCTTGTTGCTATTGCTGCTTGCTTAAATCTAACAATGAGATCTGTAGCATGAGTACCAATGAGATTTGTAGCATTGGATGGATTTTTTTTTCCGCAGGGTTTTCGATACAAAGCTTTCCTTCCCGCAACATAATTTTAAAATTTAAGAATTCTATCAGTTAAAGTTATTGCAATATAGATGTCAAAAGTTTAATTCGCTGGATTACGTCATAAACATTATTCAAAAACCAAAATTCAGCAAAAAAAAAAACAAAAAAAATTATTTGTGTATGTGTGTGTGAGTGCATTTTTATATTAATTTGGATATTTTGCACTAGGCTTAAAGAAATATAAGCGTATACTCTTATGTATACGCTTATATTTCTTTAAGCCTAGTGCTTAAAAATTTCTTTAAGCCTAGTGCTATAAAAATGTGTATTAAAAGATTACGTATTTAAATCTTAACTAGACTTATCTCACAAAACCGAACAGACATCAAAAGTTTAAAAGCCTTTTCTTCTTGGCAAAAGGAAAATTTTACAGATCCGTGGTTTTAGCTCAGTACCTGTGACATATCTAAATGCTCTTCATATCGAGCAGGAATTAAATGCTATGAAATGTGCTTGTCAGGTTCTCATGCATGAGAAAATATTTTTTTACCATTTTTACATTCATTTTTCTCATAAATTTCCTTTTCAGCGGAAACATGTGAAGAGCACAAAACAAAATCAACAACTGTCACAGATAATGTAATACCAACTTGTAAGTTTTAATATCAAATTTTGTATATTCCATTAATTTTGTTTTACAACTTAAATGTATCTTCTTGTCTATGAAAATTTAATTTGAATTTTGATGTGAATTTTAGATTTATTAACATATGATTTAATGTCTTATATATTGTGTCATTTTTTAATCGTAAATTAACGTTATGTTCAATTAAAGGGTAGTGCTAAATTTGTTACTACCACGAGCCTTCTTTTATGACTTCTGTTCAACTAGAAAGCCCCCAATTCTGTAATGAATCGAATAATGCTTTAAATCAACCCCTTGGGTACATTTGACGTCTGAGATACGTCATTCACTTTTTTTCCCTAGGAGCGGTTGACGTGTCTAAGACGTCAAACCAAAAATTAAACTCTTGGGTACATTTGACGTCTGAGAGACGACATTCACTTGTTTTCCCTAGGAGCGGATGACATGTCTAAAACGTTATTTGAGGTTAGGCACAATTCTGTTCATTTCATTGTAGCTTGTATCAGTCATAAGTGAAGAGGCAATTACAGTATTTCGGTGAACATTATTTGTGATACACTGCCCCATTATGTCAAAAACAAGGAATATATTTTATGATAGTGATAGCGAAAGTGACTTTGAGAAATCTAAAGAAGAATTGTTTAGTGATCCTGAAATTGACAATTACAATGAAATACAAAGCGAAGGTGACGAAGACGATATTGAACTGGAAAATGACAATTTTAATATAATATCAAGGTTTCGAAGACGCACTATCGAGCAGTGATAGTGAATCTTCTCGTGAATCAGTATCAGAGGAATGGATTTAGGAAGAAGAAGAAAATGTAGCCGATATAAAAAGTTTTTCTGAAATATCTGGAATTAATCCTTTGAGCCTGCGTAGACTAGGTGGTAATCCTACGTCTTTAGATGTTTTGAAAGAAATCTTGAATGAAGATTTTTGGGACACTATAGTAGAAGAAACGAATAGATATGCCAGACAAGGAATAGAAAAAGAAGGTTGTGTAACAAAAATCAAAGGTGGTTTCCTGCAAGTTCTGATGAAATGAAAGCTTATATCGCATTATGCATCTTGATGTCGCACATGAAGAAGCCAAAAATGCATATTTATTGGTCAAAAAGATATGTAATAAGTACTCCAATTTTTACCAGCACTATGGCACGCGATAGGTTTTTGATATTTCAAGCTTTCTACATTTTACGGATAACGAAGAGGAAAATAAAGATGACAGAATAAAAAAGATTAAAAATATAGTGGATTACCTAAATAATAAATTTGTTACATTTATACTCCTAAAGTGAAGTAGCTATTGATGAATCGCAACCAAAAGTTATATCCGTTCCACATGCAAATATTTTCTCAAATAAATCCGTACCCAAGGAGTTAAAATGACCAATCAACGTACACCTTGCACACAAAAGAATTAGACAGTTCTATAAATCTCCCGTTCTACTGCACCAATTGTCGAAATTTAAGTCACATTTTCCATGTCTCGAAAGCGAAACTTAAGATATGTAGTAGATTAACATGTAGCATTGTTCTAACATAGGTATTTGGACATCAAAAATCGGACTTTTTCTCAAATAGCACACCAACTTTTTTCCATATTTTAATTCTACCACTCAAATTATGCCAAAGTGCCAAGTTTTGTAAAAATCGCACGAGTAGTTTTTAAAAAATAACGTCTCAAAATTTTAGCTCCTCCATGGTAATTGAATTTGGTATATATTTATTAATATCTCTATTTTACGTAACGTATTTGATTTTTCCTTTCACATTTCGAAATTTAGGTTCATTCTTAATAAAATTCACTCATTGTTTTATGGTTTTGTGAATTTGTTTTTTTTAAATTATGTTTTATAAGTTTTTCGAAACACTTTGGTATCATAAGCTATAAAATTTTTACCGTCATCTTAAAATAGTATATTTCTAAGTGTACCTGCAAATAATTAGTTTTTTATTCAAATTTTTCTAAGATATTAGTGAATTTACATACTGGCGCTTTTTTAAATTTGGCATATTTCTGTTATACGCGATAATAACGCCAAATATATGGTTTATGCAATTTGTTAAAGTTATTTAAATGTATGAATGATGACCATTTTTCCGAAGAAAAAGAAAGGAAATTCCTGAAAAACAAGGAAGGAAAATAGATTGCTATAAATTAAGAAGTTCGCCAAGTGAATTATTCTTGATGCAAATTAAAAACAATCCGCCAAGATAAATTTTTCCTGAAAAAAAGAGAAAGGAAAATAGATTGCTATAAATTAAGAAGATCGCCAAATTCTTGACGCAAACTGAAAAAAAATTCGTAATTATAAATTGTTAAATTTCTCCATAAATTTATTACCAAAATTTACAAAATTTAATATCCAGGCATTATTCTTGATGCAAATTAAAAACAATCCGCCAAGATAAATTTTTCCTGAAAAAAAGAGAAAGGAAAATAGATTGCTATAAATTAAGAAGATCGCCAAATGAATTATTCTTGACGCAAACTGAAAAAAAATTCGTAATTATAAATTGTTAAATTTCTCCATAAATTTATTACCAAAATTTACAAAATTTAATATCCAGGCATTATTTGAGTAACAGAACCGAAAAACGAAAAAAAAAAAGATATGTCATTTCAGAAAAAGTCCGGTTTTGTGTCGAAATACATATGTTAGAAAAACAGTATATATAAATCTAATATATATCTTAAGTCGCGCAAGTTAAATTTCTACAATAGGTCCAGTAGAACAGAAGATATAGAACTGTTCCATTTTTTTGTGCAAAGCGTTCCTGTGTCTTGTACTAGATTCAATCCTTTTTTTGAATCGTCAGTGATCTGTTTTGAATAATCATTTTGTTATGTTAATATTAACGTTAGCTCTCGTCAAGCACACATAGAGAATACATCGTCAAGCACACATAGAAGCTTTTTTGACTGCTCAGTCAATGTTCTCTTTAATTATTTATTATTATTTTCATTTTAGAAACATTACTTGTAAAGTTAAAAATTTGATTAGCTATAGCTAAGTATGCCTGTAGTGGTTTAAAATTCGAAATATAAATTTATTTTTAATTTCTTACTTTTTTTTTACGTTACGAACATTTTTAAACATGAAATTTTTTTTTAGTGTTTAATATTTTTATAAGCTTAACTTCCTTTTGTAACCTTACCTGTTACTGACAAGGTTACAGTAATTTTTAGAATGTAAAAAAGGAAGAACCAAAGCATTTAAATAAATTGTGTTATTTAAGTTCTTTTTTCAAGATTTATTGTTACTAAGAATGTACTTAATTATTATTTTTTGAATATCACATACTGCAATTACCACCTAAGCGCCACACACACTTTTTTATCTTCATCTTTCTGAATCATATTAATAAAAATGCTGATGTCACAGCTAACGCTAGGAATAATAACTAAAATAGGCAACTCGTGCTTTAAAACTCAGTTTCCTCGTAATATTTTAAAATTAACATCAAAAGAGTTACCAAAAGGCAAATAATAGAATTAAATCATAATGATGAGTCCTATAATAACTTATGGATTGTATTACTGGAATTTAAAAATTCACAATTTTCAATGTACAAAAATAACATCTTGACTTATTTTCTGAAATAAAAGTTTTAAAAATTCAAATTCCATTTAATCGTTGCCATCCACAGCTTGAAAACAAATAATATTTAAAGCAGACATTTTGATATTTTCAAGTGTTTTTAGATAACGAATGAGTATTTTTCTGTGATAACAGTTCCTATATATTTTTTCAATTAACATGTAAAAAAAGCAAAAAAAAAAAAAAAAAAAAAAAAAAATTAAACAAAAATTTTGAACCTTTTTCACAACTTTTTCACAAACAGTAATAATTTTTACATTTGATAATATCCACAGCAAAGCTTTCGAATATTTTCATCAATTTGCATTCCAAATATAAATATTACTGAGAATGTGGAAAAAATATATGAAAACATAAGGCTGCGCCCACGGCACACACATTCGCCATTTTTAATTTAAGATGAAGTGTTTATTTTATGGTTTGTCACTTGTATATCACAAATGGAATTTTTCAATCAAATAAAAACGAACATTTGTAATTTTGCAATTTATCTGCTGAAAGCCTGTCATATGCCTTACAGTTTATAAACTTAACTTATCTTTGCATCCATTAAGCTTGTGTTCTTCCCTATTATCATTTAAGGGCCTTCACTGAATTCCTTATTTTATTGTGTATTTATTTCTTGAAATTTCACTTATATGTCAATTTAAAGAATTGCAGGGAAAAAATAATCATTTTACTTACTTTACAAGTAACTGAATACTTATTGAGAAATATAACTTCTGAATTTTGTTGACTGAACTGTTATTACTTCCTTGTACGAAGTAAAGGAAGTACTGTAATCGCGAAAATTTTCGGGTATCATATTTAAAAGCAAATACCCATTTTGACCGATATCAAATGCAATTTAAAGATGTTTCTACGTGACATCTGTACCTAAGGATAGAATAAAGGACTCTTTTTCCCAAAGCAGGTTGCAAAAAGGATTTAAAATGGATTTAGAAGAGATTTTTTCGTGACGTCTGTACGTACATATGTATGTATGTATCTGGCATAAGTCAAAAACGAGTAGCCTCAGAACGCAGAAATTTTGAATATAGGACTGCTATAACATGAAGTTGTGCACCTCCCTTTTTGGCTGCGATGCGGATTAATAACAACAACCAATGGACTGCATTAAAACACGATTTTATTTTCAAGACAAAAAAACGTTGCGCTGCGAATCCAGCTGAAAATCAAACAGAACATCTAATCTCGACTCCAAAGCAAGAGTAGTCACGTGATTCACTTAATAAATCTGCGTTCGTAATACCAGCATCATCTACAAACTTAAATGTAATAATAACTTACACTCACTCAGTCTCCACTGTGTTACTCGCCTCAGTGAATACCCACTCTGTTATTCTGTTACGCATATATACCCACTCTCTTACACGATTCCGTGAGCGTAGAAAATTAATCGATATTTTTAATATTTGAGACCATATTTTTAGTCTAAATAATAAAAATTATTAAAAATAAATCTAAGTAAAAATTAAGTTAAACTATTTTACTTTGTTTAAAGAGCTTATTTAAAGTGCCTGCATTTACATTATGTGCCAAGGAAACTAAATTTTGATGATGCAAAATTGTTCTTATATCTTACTTTTTTCCCAGGTAAAACTGTCAGTGATACTGAGACTGTCAAACCGCCAACACCAATTGTTCGAACTATGCCAAGTAAGCCCCTTTTTATATCATGGAAATTTCTCGTAAAGGAAGTTTTTTTTTTTTTTTTTTGTTTGTTTGTTTTCTATATATCTTGAATGTTTGTATAATTTTAAAGGTTTTGATGCTTGGTGTAACTTAACTTAATCCTGATAATCACAAATAAGTGATATCTGATACCTGTATAGGTAGACGATGATAGTATTCCAAAAAATGTTTAGAACTCTGAGCAAGTACATTTTTGCTTAACTCAAAATTTCTAAATAAAAGATTAGCAGAGGAAACATGATTGATGAATATGTAAGTTTGGTCTTTCCGGTAAAATAAAACATTTACAAAAATAAGCTTCCAAATATGCTTTAATTATAATAATAGATGATAAACATTAATTACTATGATTATGATAGAAGACAATACAAATATACTTTTTAATTAAAACTTTGAATGCTCTCAGATCTTATATTAAACCCAAACGTGCATTTTCTCCATTCGCAGACACGTACACATTTCGAGAGCATTTGGGCTAACGCCAAATTGGACTACAAATATTTAAGAACAGCAAATTTCTAGAACTTCCAATGGACAGGCTCGCACACTAGAGATAGAAATGTTTTATTCCTTATAGTGCTGCCACTGCTTGCTTTGAAATTGTTGAGTTTTTTAATCAAACAATCGTTAGAGTCTTATAACATATGAAATAGACAATAAAGCAAATTCTAATTCCAAATCCGCGCTTCCAGGTGCCCCTGCTCGGGTGAAGAACTATATTATTCAAAATTTGATGACTCTATATACCGGTTTTTCAATCACAGTGCGAGAAACATACATATATTCATGTTGATTCTTCATTCTTTATTTTCTTTAAATGTATTTAATGCAGGGCGATAATGTTTGGTGGCAACAATATGAAAAGTGATTTGGACATTTAAAGTGATTCGACGCAAAATCTCGTTTCGAAACTGCATCCTTCTGGGCTAACGCCCATTTGGGCTAAAAATAAATATAACATAAACGAATTCTCAAGATCATGGTTTATTTACTCTGAATTTACTATTTGTGTTGTAAGTTACCAAAGTGGTTGTAGTTTCTCAACAAATGAATAACAAATGTCTTGTAATCTGGCTCTTTTTTATTGCTAAGAAAGACGGTTACTTCGATTTAAAAAAAAACTTTCAGGCATTTTTTTCCACATTTTTCACTTTTGACTGAAATTCTCGATACTCAAGAATTTCAAAGCGCCAACAACTACACCTTCTTTGAGCTTTGCCTCACATAAACCCCGAAAGTGTTCACAAAAATATCTAAAGCAATATCCTTTTTACTTCCTTGTACGAAGTAAGAAAGAAGTATTGTAACCGTGAAAAATTTCGGGTATCATATTTCAACGAAAGTATCCACCGCTATCGAATGCAATTTAACGATGTTTTTGCGTGACATCTGCACGTAAGAACAGAATAAAGGACTCTTTTCTCCAAAAAATTATAAAATTGATTCAAAATGGATTCTGAAGAGAATTTTATGTGGCGTCTGTGCGTACGTACGTGCGTATCTCGCATAACTCAAAAAAGAGTAGCCTCAGAGCGTTGAAATTTTGTATGTAGAACTGCTGTAACATGTACTAGAGGTGCACCTCGTATTTTGGTTGCAATCGGCCGCACCAAACGTATATAAAAATATGTATATATATATCCAGTTTGTTACTCGGCTCAGTGAGCTCAGTTTCTTTTTTTCTTATATGTTTGTAAGTTGTGAATTTTTTGCTTTAAAATTAAAAAAGATTGAATTATGTTGTTCTGGTTAAGAATTTCATGTCCTTTAGTTTGCCTGCATGCAAGAATTGTAGGAACTATCAACAATAGGAAAGTTTTTTAAGTGCGGGTAAGCCTACTTTTTGATTATCATGGCGGCCATGTTTATTTGTATTTGAAACTTAGCAGAATAAATACAAATAAAATGAATTTGTTGCCAATCTAGGGAAACTAAGCTCCGCAACAACAAAGATAACGCCTTCATTTATTATTGCGAATTAAATCGTGCTTAATCCATTCTGGAATTTATTCAAAGAAAATGAGTTTAAGATTTACTTTGTAAATTTAATATAGATATTTTGAGTTTTTATGTATTTTGGTCTTGTCACGAAGTGAGAACTGAATTAATTGAATGAGAAATACTGAATCGCTTGTGGAAAAACTGTTTCATTTTTTGTTATTTGTTTAAACTCTTTTATGCATCGTTTTAGATTTATTATAGCATTTGAATAGAATATGTGGCAACGATATAAATTTTGTGCATTGTGAGTTATAAAATGAATGAAATGTAACGGTGTTAAATGAACTTATATATTCCGTACAAAGGAGTCATGTGTACACATCAGATTTTTTAGACATGCAGAAGCATATTGGTTACGATTATGAAGGATGCTTTCGGGTTCCTTGTAGATGATTCCATGAAGAATCTCCAATCTTCTGGTCTGTATTTGATTCTGAAGTTTACCATTACTCCATTAACATTGTGAAAATAAAATAGGCCACCCTCTTGAGGGAAAAAAAGCACAAAAGCACATATGCTTTTCATCTCTATCGTTAACATGAAAATGATGTACCAGGAACAAACAGCCGCTTTCCTTTAATCTCAACTCTAAATGAATGTCTGCGAATCATTTGGAAGTCTCTCTTACTAACTAGTTTAGTTTAGAATGAGTGAAAAACTTAGGTTCATTGTTGCATAAATCATAACAGTCCTCTCTGTTACGATCACCGCTGCCATGTGAAAATTGAGCTGTGTTACAGAAAGTATTTTCGAATGTATCTGGAGGTGTAGGGACTGGTAAATTAAGTCTACGAAGAACAAGGAGAATAGCTAAAGGGATGCAGTGATATGAAATTTCGTTTTTATTTTTTTAAATTGAAACCTACCATCCAGCAAGAGTAAAATAACAGTCATCACTATGCTTTTTAGTTTCTCTTGAAATCATAGGTTTTCCAAAAGGAAATGATTTCTTCTTGCTTTGAAACCTTTGATTGAATTCTTCGACACACAACAAAAAACACTTGTGAGGAGCCCAACTCTCATCTTGATCACATAACGAATGTGAAAGTAAGCAAACTACTTTTACAAACTCAGAAATTTTTCTTTGTTGCTGTTCCACAATTGTAGCAGAAACAATCTGGAGACGTACCACATCCTCTAGAAGCCATTTCTCTTGAAATCAAAAACCTCAGAACTAAAAAGAGTCACTTCACAAAACAAGTACGTTTGCAAAGCACGGTGGTTAGGTCCACACTGGCAAGATGACAATTGACCTTGCCTAGTATGAACCGAATTTTACCAGTTTTGATGGTACCATCTGTTCAGTAAAAGAAAGTCTGAATTACGTTGCCATCCTATACTTATATTGGTAACTTACTAACTTGAGTTAACTTACGAGAATGAAGATTTAATAAACCTAATGTTATATAGCTTTTAAATACAAAAAACAATATGTTGTACACATATCAGAAGAGCTTTAAAAGTGTAAGCATAATGTGTGATTTGTAGGTAAACTGTGATAGATTTGTTTAAATTATTTTTATGCAATTAGCACAAAATTACTTTAGGGATCACTGAGAAAACTTAAAACAATTTTTTCATCCCACACATGTGTTATACTGCAGTTCAGAGCAATTGCAGCCCTACGAAAAATTAATAGATAGCCATAGAATTTCGCTCACGGATTAATTAATTATCATGAGAGATGCAAATGTTAGTTAATAGGATATGCGCATAGTTGAGGCTGAGATATGATTTCAAGGATGTAAAATGCATTCTATCGATAAATTTAGTTATTCAGTTGTTATTGCAAACTCCTTGCTTCGAAGCAAAGCAAGGAGTTTAACATCGGCCAAGTGATAAAGTCACTGAAAACTGGGAGTTGAACCCGGGGCTGGTTCCCTGGACGCTTTCGTGTTTCCCCATGTGTAACGTATATACGAGCCTTGAAGTGCGCCGTCAATGCATAAACTTGCACAGTTATGCCTTGAAACTTTGTTTGTTTCAAAGTATTTATTGATCGTTTGAAAGATTTCCTTCTCAGCTGTTCATTTATGAAGTTCGTTGCAGAACAAATAATGCTTTTTCAACTCTTTCTCATCAGGAGTCGAAAACGTGCAACTAGCTGACAACAGTTTGCTAACATATGTTGATTTATCAACCAATCAGCCTATAAGGAAAATTTCTTAATTTCTCAAATGTTCTGGATTGATGATCTTTCTATACTAACTGGCATGTGTCCATTGAGCATGGTGATCATATTAGCTGAAAATAGTACCTTTTCGTTTGTTTTGCTAGATTCGGCAATTGTGTAAAGCTTTGTGGCTTTAGTTGTCAATACTGGGACATCGTTAAGCTGCTTCGGAACCTCGACTAGACACCATAGGCTGATTCCCATGAGAGAATTTTGTATTTCAGTTTGTATTCTCAGAACGTTTAAAGTAAAATCCTCATTTATGTATGAAGGCCACTTAGTACTAAGATGTCAATGTAGTTCAGTTTGTGCAATTTGACAACGTTTAGAGTCTTCTGAGAAAAGGCACAAAATTATCGCAGCAAACGAAATAAAATTTCAGATAATCATCTTTACACACTCTATTACGCCGCACGTTAAACCTTTTCTTTGGCTCGTTTTTTAAGGCACGCGGATTTGTTAAGTTTTCCAATGTTTTTAAATAATTGTTCATTATTTTGGGTCGCTCAAAGTAAGTTTAATAGAATTAAAATATATGCAGAATGGAAAAATAAACAAGCCATTGAACAGAAAAATATAGATAACACAAAACTAAATATAATACATTATAATTGAGGATATCAAACAGTGCTCGAGTCCTGGCGAACAGGCTAGCTCCATGGACGATTTCGTATTTTTCTCCATGTGTAACTAGGATACAACAACCTGGTTTCCCTTCAAAGGATCTCCGCGGGGCATCCGTCCCTTACCGCTTAGTGCCAAATAGCGAAGAACGTAATAAATAATAATA